GTTTATTGTTACTTATTTTCTTTACTATAAAAAATATGATTAAAAAATTGGACCATTTTTATTAATTATATATTAAAACTTTTATAGATAAAATGCTTGCATTAGTTTTATTAAATGTTTAATGAATTCGTCTATTTCTGAATTTAAAAAAAAAACTAAATTTTACACTTTTTCATTTATGATAAAAATTAAGTTATTTAAAATAAATATTTCAAAACAACAATAATAAAATAGTAAAGAATTGAGAATGGTTTCATAATGTCTTAAATTATAAGATTTTAATAAATATTTCTTACAGAACACGTTTATATTTAGACAAAAAGTTAAAATTAAAATTATTAGCACTACATAGATCTTGTCTTCTGGGCTACTTCTGGAGAGTAGCATTTTAATCCTCTGTTATTTTAGAATATTTTTCATCAAAACTTAAACGTTTTTATAAAATTATTTGCTTATTAACATCTTATAATTCAAAAGGATAAGTTTTTTTAAATAAATAAATGCTGATGATGATAAAGTATCAAATTTATTTTAAACAAAATTATTTTTTATTAGATATGATAAGTCAGGAAATCAAGCTTTAGCTACTGCACTTGCTCTGTGGGTATTTAAAGAACATGGAGTTTTAAGAGCTGGTAATGTTAAACATCATATAAAAGGAGAAACTCAGCCTCCAGATGCATACACTATAATGGATGAAGTTGTAAGTATCATACGTATATGTAGCTATACATATTATTGTAAAATAAAAATAAGGAAGCTAGAATAATGAAGATACTCTTTAAAATAACTTAAAAATTCATCCATATATAAGGTGTAATACAATAATTTGTGATAAAGTGATGGAAAAATTAATATTGTGTGATGTGATCACGAATGAAGTGTAGAGTCCTGTAAGTCTGGTCCTATAAGAAAAATTAAACTTTTGATTGAGAGACGTAAAATTAGTTTGGATGCAACTCTTCAGGTGATAAATTGGGTATAGGCAACCAATTGAATTACCATTCATATCCAGATCAGATTTATGGGATATTCCATATATGTGTACAAAAAAGATTTGAAAATTACATATAAAATTTTTGGTTTAAATTATTATTTTATTCAATTAGGTCTATAGCATTGAAATAGAAATCTTGAAACAAGGAAAATGGGAACCTTTTGATGCTAAAGATTTGCAACTAGAATTTGTCCGAATTGATCCATTTATCAGAACGGGATTAAAGAAAAAAGGTTTGACTTAATTTTCTTTATATTTAAATAAAAATTTTTTGTATTTTAACAAAATGTTATTTTCTAGGTGCAAAGTATGTTGCTGAATTTAAAGTTCCAGATGTTTATGGAGTTTATCAATTTAAGGTTGATTATAATCGTATGGGTTATACACATTTATACAGCACTACTCAGGTAATTTTTTAAAATTAAATGCATATATAGAAACAGAATATTATATATTTCCTATTTCCTCTATATTTTTCAGTTTCTCCCAGTCATTTACATAATATTAAATGCATAAAATAAATTATTACTCAGGTAATAATTTAAATAGGAAATATATATTATTCTGTTTCTATATATGAATTAATAAATTTGTTAAATAATATAATAAACCAAATCACTAGGTTATTAAATAATGTAATGGATTGGCTTATATAATTTGTTCTAATGTGTTTATTTTATTAACTTTATTCATAAAATTTCTTCTTGAATCTTTAAATTGTATCTAATTGGACTCAATTATTTATTCCTGTTTTATTTATTTCATTACTCTAAAATAAAAAAAAATGCCAGAAGAATGAAAACATTTATTACATTGTGAAAACTTCCTACACTTAAGGGTAAGAAGTCATTAAAAATTTGGTTTTTATAGTACAAGTATTTGGAGCAAATTCATTCAGTATGATAAAAGATAATAAATTGATATTTTGTTTGTAACTAAAAGTTTGTTGTCAGTGTTGTCTTGAACAACCTGATGCATGAAGGCATTAATAATTAGAGATGTGCTCTTCTAGGCTAGTCATTGTTTACTGATGAAAATGTGTTTTTTATTTATTTATTGTACTGTTTATTTAAGCAATGCATTCTTTATGAAGTTTTTCACTATCACAGCATTCTAGGAGAGTATCTAGCACATTTTCTTTTCATTTTATCAGAAAATGAACAACAGCCTTTATGGTGTATTGTTTAACAGAAATAGTAATCTTGAATTTATCTTCTAATTCATCACTATCACCTATTGCAGCATATTTCAATTTATGTCACAATAGCTTCGTCAGTTGGTTTTCAACAGTAGTGGTATATTTATTTACTTCAATGAGATAATCAAATGTTACTTCTTTTTAAACTTTTAACTTCTGGTGCAAATATTTTCAGTTGTGTACAATAGTCTTACTATAGTTTCCATTTTCTCTCTTATTAATTGTTGCCACAATACTTGCTTTAGAGAAGTAGTTTTCAGTTGTATTTAGTATGATTTTATACTTATACGCAATGTTGTTTCTTTCATAACATATTCCTTGTGCGCTTCATTTAAAACTCTTCTCTTTCAGAGAAAATTAGTTTTACTTCTTGTTATTCTCCATTATCATAAGCAAACACAAAATAAATTTAACTGTGTAGTAATGTCACCATTACATTACAAACTAAATCAAAAATAATTATTGAAATTTGTGTTGCCAAATGAAAGTTTAAACAATGTTCATTGATAATGGAAGATGGAAAATTTGTAAATTTACAGATTGTCTTATAATGATTACTGCTTTTTATAAAAAGCCAAATTTTATTATGTTAAACTGAAATTTTCATTACAGTGGTACTTATTGCACTGGAATGTGCTCTTAGGTGGTTCATGTGTGTCTTGGCAGAAAAACTAAATTATTCAAAAAGTATAAATGCAATTCAAATCAAGTGCAATTAATAAGTAGTAAACAAACTATGAAATACAATTTTCAAAATGTTTGCCTTTAGACACAATCAGATTCTGTCAGCATTGATAAAATTGGTCAAGATATGGTGTAAACCACTACTGAAAATCATTTCATTGCATCTCTGATTCAGTCTTAAAAAATCTATAGGTTCTTCATTGGAGTCACACAAACTTTATCTTTGGTTGTCCACTCACATTGCAAAGTCTAGGGGGTTTAAATTGGGATTATATGGGGATCATTCAATACTGCTTCTGTCATTTCCGGTACATCCAGAGCTATTAGAGATGTTGAGGCAGATGTTTTAAACATGTAAACGTGTAGGACAGACGTTCGGCGCCGCTTTCCCGTAAGCCTAAAAGTTTGACAATGGTGTTTGGATAGTCGGTGGAATCACACTCGACATTCCAAACACCATCGTCAAACTTCTAGGCTTACGGGAAAGTGGCACCGAACGTCCATCCTACACGTTTACACGTTTAAAACGTCTGCCTCAACCTCTCTATTAATCTGGGACCAAATACTTGTTTGAAGTTGTCACACTTCTTGAATGCCAACTATCCCTCTATTAAACTTTCAAACATAGCTTTTCTATCAAACTGTTCAAAAATCTCAGTATTTTTTCATCAGGACATACATGTCCTACCTTGTACTTTAAGGAGCATAGTAAATTGACAGGAGATTGAAAATAAATTTGCTACACTGGTAGTTTCATTAATCTGGCATTTGTTATTAACAACAATATACTATATTATCTTAATTTTGCATTTTTGAATAATATGTTAAGAGATAGTTAAAGTTTCAATTATTGAAAATCTACATTATCTTGGTCCTGTAAATTGTATTAGTCATTAATACTGAAAAATTATTTGTTCTTATATTGCATGATTAATAAAAATGAATTTATTTAATAAAAAAACAAGACAAAGTTTGAATTAAATATAATCAAAAATATTCTTAATTCTTAATAGCAAAAGATTTATAAAATTTTTTATGTTATAGGTTTCTGTACGTCCTCTTCAGCACACTCAGTATGACAGATTTATTCCATCAGCTTATCCTTACTATCTAAGTGCATTTTCTATGATGGTGGGAGTGTTTATTTTTAGCATTATATTTTTACATCATAAAGATACTACAAAAGATAAATCAGAATGAAACTTTGTGAGTAAAAATCTAGTTATTTGTTATTTGTCTTGAGAAACAGGAGCACAGATTTGATATTGAAAGATCATTCCAATTTCAACTTGGATTTAATATAAGTCCATTTCATTTTTTTTAATGTTTACCATTTGTCTTTGACAAAACTCATTGTAAAGGTTTTGTTTTAATAAAGGGCCTGTTTGTCAAGATTATCTAGTGACTGTTTTGTATACATAAAATATATATTAATTTCAGTATAAACAAAATATAAATTACAACATTACTACATAATTTTTATTTTAATGTAAAATGAATACTGTAGATTAAATTAATATATATATGAAATAAATATTTATTGTAGATAAAAATTCAACATTCTTATTATAAAAATTGAACCATGAAAAATTGAAAATTATCAATCAAACTTTATTCTCAAAATAAATCAAACATTTTAGTTGTCATCATTGAATGATCTTAGAATAAATATGAGCTCCTTTAACATTATTACAACAAATTATATCTCAATAGCATATTTTATCAGATTCATTGTGAAAATATACTGACAATGTTGCAAAACAAAAATATATTCACAAGATTATAACTAATGAGACAACTAATGACGACTTTTCTTTCCAATCGTGAGGGGGCAGTTATATATTATGAATGAGCAATTATTTATTATAACATTGTCATAGTGCCAGGCAGCAATTTTTAATCATATTATTAATTTATTTAATTTAAAATGTGCTCTCCACCTCAAATTAATAGTGGCTTACTACAGTACTTCATACATTTCCTTTAACAATAGAGTCATGCTGGTCATCAATCTTACTCCATTCAGGAGAAAATTTTGAACAAATAACATGACTTTGGTTCAAACCAGAAGTTCATATATAGTTAATTGGGGCCTGCTGCCCCAAAGATTTTCATATCTGGTGTCGTCGTTCATCTATCTAACACTGTTCTCGAGATTAAGGAAAGATGGATGGACGACAGTGGAAATTTATAGGTTTACAATTTTTTTCAAATTGCAGCCCAATAAGCCCTGTCAGGCCAGCTAACCAAGGAGTTCTACTGTCAAGTTTTGAGGCATTTGTGGGATGCAGTTTGTCAGAAAAGGCCCGTTTGCATGCAGGTGGTAAGTAGAAAATCTGTCATAATGACACACTATCCTGTGCACCTCATGCAGCAGTTTCTAAACACACACTGCTGCAGGATGGCACAAATGAGATTTTTGTGTTATCACTTGATGTATGCACAGAGAAAGAGAGAGAGAGACTGATACACACTGTCAGTTGCTAGTTATTTGTTGCAAATGTGTTCTGTAAAAGAGTTATAATTGTTATTTACTATGATAAACTAACCTGTAAACCAAGTGCATTTTTTACTGTACAATATGTACAGTACGTACATACAAAATGCAGTAATCCAACAGCCATTGATTCATATATGTTGGACTACAGAAAGACTAATGTATACTAAAACATTTAATTTATATGAAAACTTTCTTAAATTAAAATAAAGTTTTAACAATTCTATTTGGAAGAAATTATTTGAAAATTTAACATAAAATCATAACTGCTGATATATTGTGGATGCTGAGGGTCTTTATAACAGTTTATCACAAGTTTGGCCAGGCCTGTAATAAACAGATAGTATGGGAAGGAGCCAAGACTACCATGTTAGACTATCCATGAATCGGAACCAGACAAGCTATGAAAATTTTTAAAAACTTTTAAATGTTCATATAATTCATATTTAACTATGGGTGTATAAGGATTTTTAATACAAATGTTTAATTAGTCGTTGCTAAACTTAAATAATTTTTTTAAAAATTAAAAATTTCACAAATATACAAAAAACTTCTTTTCATTTTTCTTTTCCGTCATTTCAACACACCAGTGGTAGTTAAAAACAATTTTCACGTAGAGATGACTTTTTATTGGAGGTTCTGCCTTTGCAATAAAATGTAAATTGGAAACAGTGTCCTCTGATAATTTTTGCCAAAATCACAATACAGTATAATACACTTAAGTAAACATTTAAAACTTGGCTGACAGTAAAAATTATTTTCTTGAAACTATTCATAACTTGTACTTAATCAAGAACATGTCTGTTCATTAATTATGTAAGAAAATCTCTCCAAATTGCATGCATTTATTATGTTTTTTATATTTGTCATAAAGACTACCACACATAATTAACATGTTAAATAATACAGCTTTTTTACATAAAATAAAAATTTTCATTTAACAAAGTTTAGATTAATTTTATGGTAATTTTTTAATTCTTTCCAACCTACGGGAACTACAAGGATTTTTTTATGTCTATTGTAGGATAACCCCGCAATGATGATAGTACAACAATGGATGAGGTGTCATATATCTAGTTAACTCATCAGTGGAAATTTCCAATCTGACCTGGACCAGAATTCGGGCCTCTCAGAACAACAGACTGTCTTTACTGCTTCGGAAGTCAGTCCATTTATAATATAACATATTTAGGTATGATAAAAAATATGCAGAGTCGCTTTAGATATTTCTACACCCCACAGATAAAGAACAAAAGTATTAGTAATGTTCAGTGATATGAGACCTTGTGCAATGTTCCACTATGCTTGGATATATCCATTTATTGAAGTTTTTATTTTTTTGTTAATGAAAATAACATTAATTTATAGGTGTAGTAACCACTATGAGTCCCTATATTTTCTCCTGCTGGAGTAAAGAGGTATGAATTCAAATTATTTTGATGATAGGGATGTTTAGTCAGTGAGAAGTCACTGAAGAGTTTAACAGGTTGAATCCAGACTGCTGTCTATAAATGGTCGTAGTATGAATGCAACTTCATTTCTATGTTAGAATTATGGGGCATCCTGTATAATAATTTACACAACATAGAATCTGTAATCAAACTTATTATAATAAAAATATGATTTTTTAATTTACACGATAAACTAAATTAAGTACCTTATTTTACTAAAATTTTTCTACAAATTTAATATACTGTATTAAAGTATAAAAAAAGTACATAAAATTAACTTGTTTTGTAAAGATATGCCAATTTCCTATTATAAAAAGTTGACTGTAATTATTTTAACGTTTAAAAATTCATAGAAACTTTATTTTATTATTATATAATATTAATTAAAATAAGTATTGCAGTGGAAGATTATGCAAGAATTGTTCAGCTTTGTTTTAAAAAAAAAACATTTTTATTAAAAACGCAGAAAACGCTGCTTAGAAAAGAATTTCAATGGTAAAGAGTGATCTAGAAGTAAAACATTTTATTTATTTTTATAATAAAATAAATTTTCATTATCGATTATCAAAATTTATTAGATTTACTTTAGATTATTTTAATTAAAATAATAATTATAATAATTAATTTTTGAAAAATATTATTCAAGATGAAGTAAAGTAAGTACTGAAACATGCCATAAATTATTTTGGTTAATATAGGGAAGATCGGGGCAACTTCGGCATGCGGGGCAAGTTTGTCAAGCGCTTTTTTTTAAAAACAAATTAAAAGGAGACTTTGGCTATAGGTTAGGCAGTTGAGTTTTATTGGTGGCTTGTTGAGTGTAGTGTTTTTATTGTTCTCCAACAAGCGTAGTTGAATTATCAAGCAAATTTTCATTTTCGTTGAATTCCATATAATATTTTTTTTCCATTTATATTGAATTGGCAGGTTTTGTTATAATTCCATGATAACGAAAGTTACTTTTCCTGTTAGAAGGATGTAACTTCAACTTATTCACGTGGCCAGATCGTGGCTTGGCATTCTGTTCTCAGGGTTGTACTTAATGTTTCGAAATCATGACTAGCGGGGTAAGATCGGCAACATAAAGCCACATTAGAAGCAAAGGATAAAAATCAAACAGATGATAAATGAAAACATGTTTGCATTTGTTATTCATGTATATATGTCTTTGAACTTGCATTTCGTTGTAATAATATTAAATGGGTGTTGGATTTGTATTTCTTTGTTTTAATAGTGAATTCCAACTTATACATTGTTAATAACATAATTTTATATACGTGCCTATCTTGCCCCATTACTGTTGCCCCTATACCAGGGGCAACTTTAATAAAAATAATTAAAATAATTACAACTTTACAAAAAGAGAGAAGTTGCCGATCTTGCCCCTATACCCGGGGCAACTTCGTCAATTTCTCTCTTCTTGTAAAGTTGTAATTATTTTAATTATTTTTATTTCCAAACTGATTTTAACCAGATGTATAGTAAGGTAACATTCCAATAGACAATATGCAAAGCTTTTTTTTCAGTTTACAGCAGTATTTATTACACAAAATTTAAGTCAAGCTTAACATGCCGATCTTGCCCCGATCTCCCCTATAGATGAATTAAATAGAACAATATCTTATATATTATAAGGATGTTTACTGAATTAAATTATTTGAATATTGTGAAAATGTTAGATAGAAAAATATAAATAAATGATATATTTAACTCTTATATATCTCTTATATAACTCATATATATATATTCCGAAATGTTCTTGTTAAAGACATGTTTACGCTCGAATAAAGTTCAATGTAAGCTTAAAAATCTAGGTCACCAGTAGAAATTTATTATAAATTTTATTCTATTTTTATAAAAAGACTATTGACAAGTTTCTTATTTGAACGAATTTTCATACATTAACATATCAATAAAGTGCACGTTACACAAACTACAACTAAGATATAGGAAGTTTTGGATGAAGTAACGTCAACAGGATAATAAAGAGGAAAAATAAGCAACGCCACAGAAAAAGGCTTCGAACTTTACTTTGTGCCTTAAAATCGTTGCACATACATTAATTTGACTGAATGTTAGAGCATTTTTTAGTAATATTAGTAAAGGAACGTCAAAGTACAAATTAAAGCTGGAAGACCAAGATTTTTAATTGAAGATTTTACTTGTTGGGACTTAAATTTCTTTTGAAATTTAATTATAAAGTTAGAAAACGAAAGTAAGCCAAACACTTGTGTTTGAAATTATACTTCGCGCATCAATTGAAATCATTTGGAGTTCACAAAACGCATCAATTGAAATCATTTAGAGTTCACAAAACGTGACAATGTTACATAACGGCCGTAGGACAAAAGCATTTGTTATCGATTAGAAGTAAGAATATTACACCACGTCGACGTTTTTCACGCTTTCAATATATAAATTGAGAAAACATCAAACTTATTCATGAAACTTACTTAAATAAATTAAGAGATTATATATTTTTTAACACTTCAAACAACCTTTCCAGCTCCAGTGATATTTGTTTACACCTCAGCAAACGTTTTCAACCTCATCGAGGTCTTCATCAGGCTACTTTACTTAGGAATTCGAACGCGTTTGGAACGGAACGTATACGATTCAAAATTTCAAATATCACTGGAGCTGGAAAGGTTGTTTGAAGTGTTGAAGTATAACTCCTCTAGTGTTGGAAGACGTTTGGTTCTTATATATTTTTTAAATTACTGCCACAAACGTTTTAAATAACGCTAATGAAATTACAACCGTCTCGTTTCAAAGAAAAACATAAAAATCAAATTTAAATTCGAATTTAAATATTCGATTGACGTAGAAAAGAATCGTTTCTTTAAACGTCGTTCGAAACATCGAATTCAGTTTTCAGCTTTTTTTCCGAACAAGAACATCATCATGAACGATCGTGAAAAGAGAAAACGCGCTCTCACCTCCTCCACGTTAGAGGAAGATCCTTCTCCGATGAAGAAACTGACTCACATCGAGCGAAACCTGTTTCTGTCTTTCATCGACATCTTCAACGACTGCGGCAGAATAGTATTAGACGGCATTCGAAGAAACTTCATAGTAACAGTGAGAACATCTAGGAAAAGATTGAAAGCGAGAAAGATCGGAAGACGACGATCAAAATCAAAAAGGATGGCAGAGAGGAAAGAAAGAGGGCGATCTAAGAGCAGAAAGGGACGAAGTGGAAGGAGATCTCGTAGAAAGGGCAGTCGCGACAGAAAAAAAAAACAGGGAGTCCGTAGAACGTAATCTTCACCAATATCCCGACAACCCAAAACGGAATTGCTAGATTACCGTAATCTAGTGATCAAATATCTCAATCTGCTACTTGCGGCCCAATATTGCAATCCCGAAAACCAGCCGTACTTTATGAGATAAGAGAAAAAAAGAGTAGTCCGTGGGTAAGGTAACACCCCCCCCAAAAAAATGTGTTAATGTAAACGCAAAGCCTTATTTTATGACTCTGTTCCTTCGACACGCAAGCATATGTCATATTGGCGTCATCCTCAATTTTGAGATGGTTTAATTATTAATAAAGAATATTTTAACCGTTATAGAGATGGTCCAGTTTAACATTTTAATGCATTAGAAGTTTGCAATTTGTTGAAGAATTTCTACTCGAGAATTCGAATTAAAAAAATTTTTCTGTATAGAATTATAAATCAAACTAATAACACGAATATATCGTTATCGTTTGAATTAATCTTTTCTGTATATATTTAAATATTTATCTCCACGCTGTAAAAATTATCTGTACATTTAAATTCGTGGAAAATAATTTTTTCTTTTCATTTTATATCCTATTCTAATTAAATGAGTAGTAATAATTTATGTATATATTTTCTTGTTATATACCATTGAAATTATGCAGATCCATTCCAGAAATATAAAAAATTAAATTATTAGTTAATTAATAAAAATAACCTATTATTATGTTGCTACTTACATTTAATTAGACGAGATATTTGATGTACATTCGAAAATTTATTACTATTATCCATAGTGAGAGATGACTTTGATAATTCACAATTGATAAACTGGTGACGGTTTGTTTATCATTTGAATTCTTGTTCTCAAAGGGGTGAGTTCGTTATTTTATTATACCTTAAACGGATATTATTATTATATGAAAATACCTATTTTGTTCTTTTTAATTTATACCAAACTCTAATATAGTTTTTAAATTATCGCGTTAACATGAAAGTTTCTTCTGTAATTATTTGGTTGACATTATGTTCACATATCTGTATTTTGTATGATGATTTTAGAATTGATAATACAGTGGGTGATCGGTTAACGAACATAATACGTTCCAAGACTTTGTTCGCTATCCGAATTGTTCGTTAACCGATTATCGATTTACCATTTGTTTTTATGGGAATTTAATTAATTCGTTCTGGAATTTAATTAATTCCCCAAAAATAAAAAAATATATACTTTCTTACTACGTTTATTCATGTGTAATAATAAAACTACATATACTGTATACATGGTCTTGCATTTTTATTAGTCATTTTTTCCGTTTATGGGGGTTAAAGAAGCTGTCCTATGTCAATTGCTTTTCTGTCTTCACGATTTTTCAGAAGTAATTAATAGCATTGTAATTGTAGAGATCCCTAGGCCTATTAACCTCAACCTGGTTTGGATCCATTTTAAGACCGCTGTTCCGACACTTCTTCAAAAGATCTTTAATAGCAGATATCGGCATAAATCCGCATTTTCAGAAGAAAACGTAAAAGAATTGTTTCTGTCAGAAATATAAAAGGCTGGAATTACAAGGGAGAGTTTCAAAGTTCGGGGGAATACTATCCGATCAGTATATACTGATCCGAAAAGTTTCGAATTGTTGCATGAAGAGAAAGGAAGACCAATCGGTATTCGTTATTTTACGTCGCTTCTTCTTGTGTTTGTTCAGGGAAGTGTTCGTTATCCGAACATGTGTTCGTTGTCCGATCATAAAAATCTTTCGCGAAAGTGTTCGTTATCCGATTTGTTCGTTAACCGATCACCCACTGTATAAAGTTATTTATATAACTTTATGGCCCTTTATATATACTGTTAATTAATTGATAATTAAATCTAGCTTTAATGAAATCAGTTATTCTATTTTCATAAAATATTATTTTAAATTTTAGTTTTAAAAGATGAGACTTTCTCCTAGAGAAAGAGATGGTCTTTTATTGCATCAGGCAGGATTTGTGGCACAGAAAAGATTGGCTAGAGGATTGAGATTAAATCACCCGGAAGTTATAGCATTAATTTCATCACAGGTTAATTAATTTTTAATTAATCTGGCTAATTTTCTAATTTTTCCATCTTAATTGTTGTTTTATTTTTAAATCGACAGATACAAGAATTAATTAGAGATGGATTAAGTGTTTCGGAATTAATGAACTTGGGAAAGCAGATGCTGGGTATAATCTACGCAAACATTAATTTATATTTACCGATAAACAGTGATTACATTTAAAATTATTTCGTACAATTTAGGATTTAGACAGGTAATGCCTGGAATATCTGAAATGATTCCCGAAATTCAGGTTGAAGGTACCTTTCCCGATGGAACGAAACTTGTGAGCGACTTCTTCTATATCTATCATCTTCGCTATTAAATACACAAACCCAATTGACTTATATCATTAATTAATGATGATTCCAACGATAGTGATGCTACACTAAAATATTTTAAATCTGAATTACAGGTGACAATTCACGAACCTATTTGTCGTCGAGATGGCGATTTACATCTTGCGCTTCAAGGAAGTTTCCTTCCTGTACCCGATCTTCATCTGTTTAATAAGGTAACGATGTAATTCCGAATTTTTGTTCTTAATTAAATTGTTTGAAAGTTTATTTATACTTAATATTTAGAGCGAAAAGAAAGAAGAATATGATCCTTCCATCAATAAAATTCTAGACACTTCTCCTGGAAAATTTCTTCTGGAAAGCAAACCAGTTGAAATGAATGTTGGAAGGAAAACCATTCTGTTAAAGGTTTCTAGTATATGCGACAGACCAATTCAAGTAAAAAGAATTTTTCAATTATAAAATAAACGGTTTTAACTTTATAAATAGGTAAATATACGCGATTGCTCTTTGATCCATTGGTAGATTGGCAGCCATTATAACTTCATAGAAGCCAACAAACATCTTATTTTTGACCGTAGATTGTCTTATGGAATGAGATTNCTGGTTTGACATTGAAATCCATGAGTAATATAAAATCGGAGAGAGGGATAAAAATATCAAATATTTTAATGGGTTTTTTTAACTCCCGTCAACTATACAGAACTATCTTAAAAACATACCAGTAAATTCTTAACGGTTGGGAAAAGTTATAAATCTACTCGTTGTTCACGTAATCGGCCAAATATCTAGCGGGCGGGCGGCTAACAGCCCGGAACTGGTCCCGGATAGAATTGGAAGCGTTATATGTGTAGCTTCAACCCGAGGTCGTAGACTTCCACCGGCTAAACCGGGTGAGGTTGGTGCTCTGTAAATCGCGTGCGCAAANCTGGTTTGACATTGAAATCCATGAGTAATATAAAATCGGAGAGAGGGATAAAAATATCAAATATTTTAATGGGTTTTTTTAACTCCCGTCAACTATACAGAACTATCTTAAAAACATACCAGTAAATTCTTAACGGTTGGGAAAAGTTATAAATCTACTCATTGTTCACGTAATCGGCCAAATATCTAGCGGGCGGGTGGCTAACAGCCCGGAACTGGTCCCGGATAGAATTGGAAGCGTTATATGTGTAGCTTCAACCCGAGGTCGTAGACTTCCACCGGCTAATCCAGGTGAGGTTGGTGCTCTGTAAATCGCGTGCGCAAATCTGGCTTTTTGGAATTGACAATACAGAGATTCCACTCGCCACTAATATTCCAATATACAATAGCAATCTTATTATTATTTTTTTTTTCACGTGTAGTATAGAAATTTGTAATAAGATACATAATGTGGTTATAATAAAATATTGTGCGATTATTTTCTTATATTTAAAATTAATATGTGTTTGTTTTTTTATAAAATACAAGGGAAGCGGCGCTTCCACCGCTTCTAATGACGGCACGCCACTGTATGTTAGACTGATGGGGCTTCCTGTATAATAATTTACACAACATAGAATCTGTAATCAAACTTATTATAATAAAAATATGATTTTTTAATTTACATGATAAACTAAATTAAATACCTTATTTTACTAAAATTTTTCTACAAATTTAATATATTAAAGTATAAAAAAAGTGCATAAAATTAACTTGTTTTGTAAAGATATGCCAATTTCCTATTATAAAAAGTTGACTGTAATTATTTTAACGTTTAAAAATTCATAGAAACTTTATTTTATTATTATATAATATTAATTAAAATAAGTATTGCAGTGGAAGATTATGCAAGAATTGTTCAGCTTTGTTTTAAAAAACAAAAAACATTTTTATTAAAAACGCAGAAAACGCTGCTTAGAAAAGAATTTCAATGGTAAAGAGTGATCTAGAAGTAAGACATTTTATTTATTTTTATAATAAAATAAATTTTCATTATCGATTATCAGAATTTATTAGATTTACTTTAGATTATTTTAATTAAAATAATAATTATAATAATTAATTTTGGAAAAATATTATTCAAGATGAAGTAAAGTAAGTACTGAAACATGCCATAAATTATTTTGGTTAATAAATGAATTAAATAGAACAATATTTTATATATTATAAGGAGAAAATGTTTACTGAATTAAATTATTTGAATATTGTGAAAATGTTAGATAGAAAAATATAAATAAATGATATATTTATAATATTGCGAAATGTTCTTGTTAAAGACATGTTTACGCTCGAATGAAGTTCAATGTAAGCTTAAAATCTAGGTCACCAGTAGAAATTTATTATAAATTTTATTCTATTTTTATAAAAAGACTATTGACAAGTTTCTTATTTGAACGAATTTTCATACATTAAAAATATCAATTTCAGAAATTCTTTATTTAAATAAGGGTAAAATGTTTTTAAAAGTTGCTTCATAAGAATACTTATTATATTTAATAAGTTTTATTTAAAATGAGACAGATATTTTAGATTATTTCTTTATAAAATTGATATCCAAAGAAAATGGATTGTAAATTTTATTTCATTTTTAATTAAATTTGGTGTATTGCTTTAAATTTTAAAATTTATTATGACATATTTTTCTTAGTTACAATTACATTACATTTTAAAACTATTTTTAATTGGAGAACTGATTCATTTTCCTGTACTAATTCTAATGTGTTGCAGCAATATACTGAGTGGTTATAATTAAACAGAAGGTGTTTAGAACTATTTATAGAAATAATGGGCAGGATTTGGTGTACCAGGTCTATTAGTTTCTAACCGTGATATTTCGATTCAAATAAAGTTTAGTTCCAAAATTTTCCGAAAGTGAAAATTTGGCGCTAATATTGTTGCAGTTTGCATAGTAGATACGTTGTCAGACATTCAAGCAATGCAGAGAACTTGAGAGACAAAGTTCTGCGATTTTATTGCAATTTAGTTACGGCGATTACAGATTTCGTGAGTTGTAACTTCCCATAACCTACGATGTCACGTGGTAATTTTACACATTGTCAAATTGAACACATGGAAATGTCAGGTTTCCAATAAGTCAGAATAGCGGTTTTACTTTACGTGCCCTCCATCATCTCCATTCTAACACATGCATTTAATGAACAGCAACACACAACGGCGGAACGTAACTGACATTGGGTGCAGCGGAAATCACGTGTAGCGAAATTCTCTTAAGACAACTATTAGGGGCAGTCAAATGAAAACGAGACAGACTATATAAGTGTGGCACGGAAGTTGGTAATGCAGGTAGGTGCGTATATAGAAGTGTTCTCTATTGGGAATCAGGAAGGAACATCGTGAATGTTCACCGCTGTGCCATTTGTCTGTTAGACGTGCTCTAAGTGAGGTCGGCGAGTCGTGTGTGCGTCCAACATCACTATGGAGGTCCGCTGCTTGTTGACTCTCTGGAACACGGTGCCACAATTAATGCACAGCGGTACATAGAAACTTTGCAAAAATTGAAGCGTGTCATCAAATCCAAACACCCAGGAACGTTGACAGACAGCATTATTCTGTTTCAGGATAATGCCCACCCACATGTTACCAAGGTTGTTTTGACTACGCTGCAGAAGTTTCGCTGGGAACTTCTGCAGCATAGTCCATACACATTCTCCATACAGTCCCGATTTCTCCCCGTGCGATTTCCATATTTTTGGAGCCCCGAAGAAAGACATTCGTGGCCGTCAATTTGCTTCGGACTAAAAGGTGCACGTCTGGGTACAATCGTGGTTCCGTAGGCAACCTAAAACATTTTTCTATGAAGGCATTGACCGTCTTGTCTCACAGTGGGATAAATGTATTAACAGTTATGGCAATTACTTTTGAAATAATAAACAGTTTACTTACTTTTTTCCATCTGTCTCGTTTTCATTTGACTGCCCCCAATAATTTGGGAAAATTGCCCCGATAATCATGGCTCTTCAAGTATTCTCATAACTAAAATTCACAAGGGGTTAACATGTCAATAAAGTGCACGTTACACGAACTGCAACTAGGATATAGGAAGTTTTGGGTGAAGTAATGTCAGCAGGATAATAAAGAGGAAAAATAAGCAACGCCACAGAAAAAGGCTTCGAGCTTTACTTTGTGCCTTAAAATCGTTGCACATACATTAATTTGACTGAATGTTAGAGCATTTTTAGTAATATTAGTGAAGGAACGTCAACGTACAAATTAAAGCTCGAAGACCAAGATTTTTAATTGAAGGTTTTACTTGTGGGATGTAAATTTCTTTTGAAATTTAATTATAAAGTTAGAAAACGAAAGTAAGCCAAACACTTGTGTTTGAAATTATACTTCGCGCATCAATTGAAATCATNGTTGGAAGGAAAATCATTCTGTTAAAGGTTTCTAGTATATGCGACAGACCAATTCAAGTAAAAAGAATTTTTCAATTATAAAATAAACGGTTTTAACTTTATAAATAGGTAAATATACGCGATTGCTCTTTGATCCATTGGTAGATTGGCAGCCATTATAACTTCATAGAAGCCAACAAACATCTTATTTTTGACCGTAGATTGTCTTATGGAATGAGATTGGTAATGTATTTAGGATTTAAATTCCGATTTTAGAATGCAATTTACATATTTAATGTAAGAAAATAATGAAATCATTGATAGAATAAACCATCGGGAACATCGATTAGGTTCGAACCGGGAGAAACTAAAATTGCGAATTAATGATAATTTTATTAATTTAACTATAAATGAGATAACACCAGTTAAAAATTGAATATTTTTTTTTTTTATTTTTTCTTTTGAAAATTCAATGTGAGAAAGTGTACTAAAATTATTTAAAACAAACCAATTAAATATATGTTCAGATAGCCCTATAGATTTGTAAGTAGAGATGGTCCAGTTTAACATTTTAATGCATTAGAAGTTTGCAATTTGTTGAAGAATTTCTACTCGAGAATTCGAATTAAAAATATTTTTCTGTATAGAATTATAAATCAAACTAATAACATGAATATATCGTTATCGTTTGAATTAATCTTTTCTGTATATATTTAAATATTTATCTCCACGCTGTAAAAATTATCTGTACATTTAAATTCGTGGAAAATAATTTTTTCTTTTCATTTTATATCCTATTCTAATTAAATGAGTAGTAATAATTTATGTATATATTTTCTTGTTATATACCATTGAAATTATGCAGATCCATTCCAGAAATATAAAAAATTAAATTATTAGTTAATTAATAAAAATAACCTATTATTATGTTGCTACTTACATTTAATTAGACGAGATATTTGATGTACATTCGAAAATTTATTACTATTATCCATAGTGAGAGATGACTTTGATAATTCACAATTGATAAACTGGTGACGGTTTGTTTATCATTTGAATTCTTGTTCTCAAAGGGGTGAGTTTGTTATTTTATTATATTTTAAACGGATATATTATTATATGAAAATACCCATTTTTGTTCTTTTTAATTTATACCAAACTCTAATATAGTTTTTAAATTATCGCGTTAACATGAAAGTTTCTTCTGTAATTATTTGGTTGACATTATGTTCACATATCTGTATTTTGTATGATGATTTTAGAATTGATAATACAGTGGGTGATCGGTTAACGAACATAATACGTTCCAAGACTTTGTTCGCTATCCGAATTGTTCGTTAACCGATTATCGATTTACCATTTGTTTTTATGGGAATTTAATTAATTCGTTCTGGAATTTAATTAATTCCCCAAAAATAAAAAAATATATACTTTCTTACTACGTTTATTCATGTGTAATAATAAAACTACATATACTGTATACATGGTCTTGCATTTTTATTAGTCATTTTTTCCGTTTATGGGGGTTAAAGAAGCTGTCCTATGTCAATTGCTTTTCTGTCTTCACGATTTTTCAGAAGTAATTAATAGCATTGTAATTGTAGAGATCCCTAGGCCTATTAACCTCAACCTGGTTTGGATCCATTTTAAGACCGCTGTTCCGACACTTCTTCAAAAGATCTTTAATAGCAGATATCGGCATAAATCCGCATTTTCAGAAGAAAACGTAAAAGAATTGTTTCTGTCAGAAATATAAAAGGCTGGAATTACAAGGGAGAGTTTCAAAGTTCGGGGGAATACTATCCGATCAGTATATACTGATCCGAAAAGTTTCGAATTGTTGCATGAAGAGAAAGGAAGACCAATCGGTATTCGTTATTTTACGTCGCTTCTTCTTGTGTTTGTTCAGGGAAGTGTTCGTTATCCGAACATGTGTTCGTTGTCCGATCATAAAAATCTTTCGCGAAAGTGTTCGTTATCCGATTTGTTCGTTAACCGATCACCCACTGTATAAAGTTATTTATATAACTTTATGGCCCTTTATATATACTGTTAATTAATTGATAATTAAATCTAGCTTTAATGAAATCAGTTATTTATTCTATTTTCATAAAATATTATTTTAAATTTTAGTTTTAAAAGATGAGACTTTCTCCTAGAGAAAGAGATGGTCTTTTATTGCATCAGGCAGGATTTGTGGCACAGAAAAGATTGGCTAGAGGATTGAGATTAAACCACCCGGAAGTTATAGCGTTAATTTTCATCACAGGTTAATTAATTTTAAATTAATCTGACTAACTTTCTAATTTTTCCATCTTAATTGTTGTTTTATTTTTAAACCGACAGATACAAGAATTAATTAGAGATGGATTAAGTGTTTCGGAATTAATGAACTTGGGAAAGCAGATGCTGGGTATAATCTACGCAAACATTAATTTATATTTACCGATAAACAGTGATTACATTTAAAATTATTTCTACAATTTAGGATTTAGACAGGTAATGCCTGGAATATCTGAAATGATTCCAAAGCTTTTTTTTCAGTTTACAGCAGTATTTATTACACAAAATTTAAGTAAAGCTTAACATGCCGATCTTGCCCCGATCTCCCCTAAATATACAAACCCAATTAACTTATATTGTTAAAGATGATTCCAACGATAGTGATGATGGATACACTAAAATATTTTTAATCTGAATTACAGGTGACAATTCACGAACCTATTTGTCGTCGAGATGGCGATTTACATCTTGCGCTTCAAGGAAGTTTCCTTCCTGTACCTGATTCTCACCTGTTTAATAAGGTAACGATGTAATTCCGAATTTCTGTTTTTAATTAAACTGTTTGAAAGTTCATTTATACTTAATATTTAGGGCGAAAAGAAAGAAGAATATGATCCTTCCATCAATAAAATTCTAGACACTTCTCCTGGGAAATTTCTTCTGGAAAGCAAACCAGTTGAAATGAATGTTGGAAGGAAAATCATTCTGTTAAAGGTTTCTAGTATATGCGACAGACCAATTCAAGTAAAAAGAATTTTCAATTATAAAATAAACGGTTTTAACTTTATAAATAGGTAAATATACGCGATTATTCTTTGATCCATTGGTAGATCGGCAGCCATTATAACTTCATAGAAGCCAACAAACATCTTATTTTTGACCGTAGATTGTCTTATGGAATGAGATTGGTAATGTATTTAGGATTGAAATTCGGATTTTAGAATGCAATTTACATATTTAATGTAAGATAATAATGAAATCATCGATAGAATAAACCATCGGGAACAGCGATTAGGTTCGAACCGGGAGAAACTAAAATCGTCCCACTTGTAGAAATTGGAGGAAGAAGGTATAATTACGATCCACCTAATTGATATTTGACAATAAATTGTTAATTATTTAATTATCTTTAATGTTTACAGAATAATAAGAGGAGGAAATGATCTTTGCAACGGGCCTGTTGACACTAAATTTCTTCCCGACATCATGAAACGAATTAAAGAGAGAGGTTTTAGACACGAAGAACAGGTAGATTTTTGTATATTAATTTATGTAATTACACAAATTTCGTGTTTACAGTTATTAATTTTAGAGTGAACAACAACCGTCAGGTATATGCACTGTGCCTCGATTACAATATGCTATGACTTATGGACCCACTGTGGGAGACAAAGTAAAAATTATTTTGCCAATAAGTTTTCATTTATTTATTTATCATTAAGGTTGTTCTTTATTCTTAGGTGAGACTTGGTGATACTTGTTTAGTGATCGAAGTTACCGAAGATTTGACATATTATGGAGATGAATGCAAATTTGGTGCAGGAAAAGTTAGTACTTATGTGTTTGAATTAAATAGATTTAAGCTTATTGTCTTTATAAACTTTCTCTAAATAAATTAAATATTTTGTTCTTTTTAGGTATTACGAGAGGGAATGGGTCAAGAACCGAACGTAATGTCCGAACAATATTTAGATTGTGTCATTACAAATGCTTTAATCTTAGATGCCGTCACCGGAATTATTAAAGCGGATGTGGGAATTAAAGTGATGAAAATATCAATTTTTATATCCTTTTTAAAAAATTATTTCTTCGATTCATTCTTAAACTTTCTAATTTTTTTCAAACGTAGAATGGAAGAATTTCTGGTATCGGCAAAGCGGGAAATCCCGATATTATGGACAAAGTAGATCCAAACATGAGTGTCGGTGTGGGAACGGAAGCAATATCGGGAGAAGGTCTCATTCTAACTGCCGGAGGAATTGATTCGCACGTGCATTTCATTTGTCCACAGTTAATACCAGAAGCTTTTGCTTCGGGAGTGACTACTCTGTTGGGTGGGGGCACTGGACCGGCTACCGGTACATGCGCCACAACTTGCACACCCGGTCCAAATAATATAAAGTTGGTTTTAAAATATATGGAATAACGAAGTGTATACTTTTTCATTAATGCAAAAATGTTTTACAGGTTTATGATTCAAAGCACAGACAAATTTCCTTTAAATTTTGGTTTTACTGGTTTGTTTTTCTTTAAATAATAATAATGGTTATTAGATGTACATTCTAAGGGTAAACATTTTTTTTATTTCAGGCAAAGGAAACACATCGTGTGTTGAAGATTATGCGATGGAATTAGAAGAACAAGTAGCAGCTGGTGCAATTGGGTAAGTTTTAGAGTTTGATTTTAATTTTCGATTTTCATATAATATCCTATACGTTTTTTAAGCTTAAAACTGCATGAAGATTGGGGCACTACGCCTTCGGCCATTGATGCTTGTCTTCGAGTTGCCGATGAATGTGACATTCAAGTAAGCTTAAATTTGTAATTCATTTATTACTTTTAGTATTACAAATTACTAGATCCTTGTAAAAAATTGCGAATTAATTTAACTATAAATGAGATAACACCAGTTAAAAATTGAATATTTTATCTTTTGAAAATTCAATGTGAGAAAGTGTACTAAAATTATTTAAAACAAACCAATTAAATATATGTTCAGATAGTCCTATAGATTTGTAAGTTTCTGGTAATACAAATAATGTAAAACACAATGATCTTACTTTAAACAATGGAGTTTCTTTTATCCATTATGAAAGTATTTGGAGTATTTTAGAATATCACATGGAATCGACTTAAATGTTGAAATGTGAAGTTTTCTATTTAAAAATGTAGAATTTGAACCTATTAATATACACGTAACCTATTTTAAATCAGTGTTTTTACTGTAAACAGTTATTTTCGCGTATATTACAACATTTTCAAATGTGTTTTGAGTTTTCTAGTGTATTCAAATTTTCATTATGTTTAATTGAAATGCACATCTGCCCTAGAATAAATTTAATAATCTTTTCTGTTTGTGAAAATTTGTATTTAAGATATAAACTACTCAAGAAAATTTTTCCTGTTTAGGTCATGATTCACACGGATACGTTAAATGAATCTTCGTGTGTGGAAGAAACGATCGAAGCGATCGATCATAGAACAATCCATTCGTATCACAGTGAAGGAGCGGGTGGCGGACACGCTCCTGATATACTTAAAATCTGTAGCGAACCAAACGTTCTTCCTTCCTCTACAAATCCTACCCGTCCCTACACTACCAATACTCTGGACGAACATTTAGATATGTTGATGGTTTGCCACCATCTAAATAAGTAAGAATTTCAATAAATTTGTCACGAGTATTTGTTTTCGTTAGATAAATCAAGTGTTATAATAGGGAATTGAAGGAAGATGTTGCTTTCGCGGAATCTCGTATCCGAGCCGAAACTATTGCTGCAGAAGACATTTTACACGATATTGGAGCCATAAGTATGATGTCTTCGGATTCTCAAGTACGGCATATTAATTGCAACGAAATTATTTTTAATTTTGTACCACGAAACAAATTAGATAATTCTATTTTTAGGCAATGGGCCGTATTGGAGAAATGATTACACGCACTTGGCAGACTGCGGATAAGATGAAAAAGCAATTCGGTCCTCTTCCGGAAGAAGTTGGCGATAACGATAATTTCCGAGCTAAAAGATACGTTGCAAAATATACCATTAATCCCGCCATCGCTCATGGAATTCAAAATTATATTGGTTCAATAGAAGTAAATGTATTAAAAAAAAAAATTGAAAAATTACTAACCACCATATAAACAATGTTTATATTTTTAGGTTGGTAAGTTAGCCGATTTGGTGTTGTGGCATCCGGCATTCTTTGGTGCCAAACCACAGATGGTTATTAAGGGTGGACAAATAGCGTTAGCACAAATAGGTAGTTACATACGCTAATTTAGTTAAATTGTTCTCTAGTTATAACTAAAATTTGCTTTCAGGATTAGCAAACGCATCTATTCCTACTCCGGAACCTGTAATCCAACGGAAAATGTTTGGATCCTACGGCAAATCCGTTGGACCAAATTCCATAATATTTGTTTCGAAGGTTGTTATCAGTTTTATTATTAATATTTCCGAAAATAATAATAACTAATAAAACTTTATAACGCATTTTCAAGCTCTCGGTGGAAAGAGGAATTGTTAAAACATACGGTTTGGATAAGGAAATCGCAGCAGTATCTGGCTGTAGAAATCTTACTAAGAAAGACATGATCCTTAATGATAGCTTGCCGAAACTGAGAAGTAAACTTAAAATTTTTACGATACTACTACATATTTTGAAATCACGACATTAAGAATTACATACTTTTTGTATTACAGTTGACCCGGAGACTTACAAAGTGTACATGCTTCGAGAAGATGAAGAATGGCAACATTTAACTTGTTCTTCATTATCGAGATTGCCTCTAACTCAGCGTTACTTTTTAATTTGATCGTGTATATATAAAATCTTTAAATCAAGATTCATTTTGATTTATTAAAAAAATTGATGCAGAGATTTAAATAAATTTACTAAAAAGAATTATCGTTTTCCGAGCCAAATAACCCATAACGGAACAACACGATAAGTTGTTGTCGTCGTTGTTACGTAACGACGTTTACATATTGGTATATTTCCACTCCATTGACCATTGGCCAAACACACCAACGAATTTGATCCGGACTGGATGTATCCTTGATTGCATTTCACAACGCATACTCCTCCCACCTCGTTGTTACAGTTTACTAAATTTGCATTATTAGGGAGCTGAATTATGGGGCATATAGCTCTTCCTTAAAAATATTTTTAAACCGTGTTAGAGTGAATAAAATAAATGTTTTGTGATTGTAAACATAGAATACATACGTTGGCATAACGGAGGAGTGCCAGACCAGATACCGCCAGCTTGACATAATAGATTTTCATTTCCGGATAGAGCAAATCCATTGTTGCATTGAAAATAACACCACTGACCAATTTCTCCCGGGGAACATACTCCGCTTTGAATTCCATTTGCAGGCGCATTCAATGGCGGACAATTCACCTCTAAATTACAGAAATAATATTACATTTCTTAAAATATTTTAAATTCTAAAATGAAAATGCATTATACTTTCACAATAAGGAGGATCCGTTGACCAAATTCCACCGGCTCGACAAACAATACTATTAGGACCTATCAGATTGTAACCGGATTTACAACTGAAGTAACACGACTGACCAACTATTCCAGGACTACACGTTCCGCTTATGATTCCTTCTTCGGTATTTGTAATTGCTGGACAGTTACTAACTAAATAAAACAATAGTTTTTATTTATCAGGCCGATCTTAAAATTTAATGAATGGATAAACTTAATTTACCTTGACAGGTGGGTGGCGCATTTGACCAAGTTCCGTTGGCTTGACATAATAAATTACTACTGCCAGATAAAGTATAACCTTCGTTACATTGGAAGTTACACCATTGATTGGGTTGACCGGGCGAACATATTCCATTGTATTTACCATTTTGAGGAACGGGAAGCGAAGGACAAGCAATAACTAATTTGAAGAAAGTAAAATTTATTTAAAATAAGGCGCACTTTCATCAAAACGAGATAAAAACATTACGTGATACCTTGACACGTCGGTGGTGGCCCCGACCAAGATCCGTTTCTCAAACATAAAATATTGCTTAATCCAATTAATTGATATCCCGCGTTACAAGAAAACTGGCAACTTTCTCCAATAATACCAGGTTGACAAACTCCAGATAACTGTCCTCCATTCAAGCCAGTAATTGATGGACATTGCTCTCCCATGACTACGAAATTAGGAATATTCACTAACCAGGAATGTCAAAACTTGGATTTAGTATTTCACTTACTGCATGCATTACGTGCGCCAGTCCATCTTCCATTAGGAAGGCATCTACGAACGTTGGTGCCACCGACGATATACGGAGGTCGACATCCAATTACACATTGCGCACCCACATTTCTTTTGCATTTATTGACGAAATAACCGTTGTTAGGACTGCGTAGTTTGCGGCAACGAACTCCTGAAATTTTTTTAAATAAATTAAACATTTGGCCCATCCATAATTAATTAATTATATTCTTACTTCTGCATTGTCCCGGATTTACTATCCAAATTGCGTCTTCCCCGTCGACATTGCAAGTGACAGCTCCGTTTCCAACCAGAGCGTAACCTCTTTTACATCTCAATCGGCACTGAGAACCCAAATAATTCGGACAATTTTGAGGTAATTCGGCATGAGGAGGAAGGGTAGGAGTTTGTCTACATACAATTTGTCGATCTAAATTTAAAATAAATCTTGGTATCAGTTTGTGTTTCATAAAAACCAGGAATCTAGAGCTAACGCACCTATGCAAGACGGTGGATTTCCCGACCAAACTCCATCTTGATTGCACTTTAAGATTGAATTTCCGAGTAATTCGTAACCGGGTTGGCATCTTATACGGCAAACGCTTCCAACTGAGTTGTCGCAGGAATCTATCCGACCAAATGTCGGTTGATACATTAATGGACATTGTCCTAGTTTCGAAAAAAGATTAATTAATTTAAAAAAATCATTTTTTACAAGCGAAATGATTCAAAATGTCACTTACCTAGTACAGTGTTCAGAGCTGTACCTATTCATTAAAGAAACATCAATGATTGATTAATATATTTCGTGATTCTGACTACGTTAGTTTAGACATATACAAATTACGTTTTTTTTTCAATGCACAAATTAAATTGATTGCTATTTTAGAAAAATTCAATTGAAATTGTCAAGCAAACAATACAAGAGGAAAAAGCTTTTATTGAAAATCATGAGGACATATGCAAACAGGATGTTGAATTAATTTCTGACTGGAATAAAGATTGATTCAGTCTTTATTGCATCATTTTTTCGAAAAAAGGAGGAAGTTCCGACTAAAATAAATTAATTTTCGGGATAACAACTTCATTGTTTTTTTGATTTCTTAAATAATATTTGGACTATCCTCGGCCTCTCTCATTGCGGCCAATAGCCAGGTAGTGAAGGCCCAAAATATTTGGGATAGACCACCCACGAAAAATTCTTGATGTTGTAGCTTTAGTACTGATGCCGAGTGTTAATCGGTCACGAACACAATTCTGAACGATAAAAGAAAATTATTAAGAACTTTTCAAACTAAGACTACATTCGCATGTAGTGTTTGATAAACAAAAACGGAAAATTTTCTTCAATTTCCCTCTCTCTAACATCGAATGGAAATTTCCATGGATTTTCTTCCAATTCAAGAAAGTAGTCATTTGAAATAGTTAATATATATATATATATTTTTTTTATTAATTAAACATATTGATCAATAGAATACAAAATGAATGCCGCTGTTAAAACGTGTTTCCAGTTAGCGATTTATTTTTATACTTAGATAAATGTTAATGTCGTTGATACACAATTATATATAATAAAAAAATCTGAAGAAAATATATGTTTATTATTATTTTTCTAACAAAAAGCAATTAAGAATATGGTTGACAAGTGCAAGGTTTACCGTTAAATTATGACCCTTTACGTGTCTTGTTCAGATTAATGACAATGGTTAGTCAATTAGCGCGAACAAGACACGCAATGATCCATAAACATTAACATTGAATGATATAAAAATATATTTCCTATTAACCGGCCGATAAATCAGTACTATTAGTATATACTATACAAAATTTTATATTACTTTGAGCTCGGTAAAGATATGATTAACATCAGAATATCTATCTCCGCATTGTGATGAACCGGTATTTAAAAATTATCTAAGTAATATATAAAAATATTCTAAAAGTATTACACCTTAAAACAAATGAAAAATTAATATTCCTTTTAGCTAAAAGTAAAGACAAAAAAATCAAATTTACATAAAAATATTAATTGAATCGAGTTTTCTAATACTTAAATGACAAATTTTGTCACGTAAAATGTATTTAAAATACAAAGTAAACTTTATTCGTCAGAATTAATCAACGTTATATTATAAGAAACGTCAAAAAATTTACCTGTAAGGAAGATGAAGATGAATCGGATGGACGAAATCATTATATACAAGAGAAATGCTGGACAGTTACTAACTAAATAAAACAATAGTTTTTATTTATCAGGCCGATCTTAAAATTTAATGAATGGATAAACTTAATTTNTGTCACGTAAAATGTATTTAAAATACAAAGTAAACTTTATTCGTCAGAATTAATCAACGTTATATTATAAGAAACGTCAAAAAATTTACCTGTAAGGAAGATGAAGAGGATGGGCGAAATCATTGTATACAAGAGAAGTTCGAATTGAATCGTTTATATAGTAGCGTGACAGATACGATAACCAGAATGGAGATTATTTGCAGCGAAAATGAATTACTTCCATGTAAAAACCATGCCATAAAGGCTTTTTCATTGATATGAATTCAGCTGTTCATACAACTTTACAATATATTTTTCTCTCCCTGTTTTTTTGAATTTTTAATCTGTCGTATTTGACATGCAATTGAGGCCATAGTATATCTTCTTCCCATTCTTTGCTTCAGCTTTCAACCCACGTGTAAGAACAATTTCCCTTATATATATTATATTTATTTTTTTTTTTATCTGAAACTGTGTTTGTGTTCCAAATTTCAAACAGAAATGGTGGAAAGTCTGAGCAAAAGCTGTTTTCTCCTGTTTTAATGAACTGAATACTTAAAATGGCTACTATAATAATTTGCCATGACCAAATCTACACATAATAAAAACGTTCTGGAAGATATATTGTTTGTTAATTTGTTCAGAGAATTTTCACTTGTTAGAGTTGAAACTTAAATCAATAAACTGACTAGAATCTTATTTGTCGAAAATATAAATTTTCCAGTAAATGTTTATATAATTTTACAGGTTTCTTGTTGAATTATTATATATATTCTGTAGCATTTAAAATTAACACACATTCTATCAAAATGAAAGTAATTTTTTTGTTGATAGATCATCAAGTTTTCAATTTATTTTAACACAAAATGAAAACTATGATAAACTTTTTTAATCCAAACAGCGAATAAAATTATTAACATGTTAAATTCTTCAATTTATTTAAAATAAGGCGCACTTTCATCAAAACGAGATAAAAACATTACGTGATACCTTGACACGTCGGTGGTGGCCCCGACCAAGATCCGTTTCTCAAACATAAAATATTGCTTAATCCAATTAATTGATATCCCGCGTTACAAGAAAACTGGCAACTTTCTCCAATAATACCAGGTTGACAAACTCCAGATAACTGTCCTCCATTCAAGCCAGTAATTGATGGACATTGCTCTCCCATGACTACGAAATTAGGAATATTCACTAACCAGGAATGTCAAAACTTGGATTTAGTATTTCACTTACTGCATGCATTACGTGCGCCAGTCCATCTTCCATTAGGAAGGCATCTACGAACGTTGGTGCCACCGACGATATACGGAGGTCGACATCCAATTACACATTGCGCACCCACATTTCTTTTGCATTTATTGACGAAATAACCGTTGTTAGGACTGCGTAGTTTGCGGCAACGAACTCCTGAAATTTTTTTAAATAAATTAAACATTTGGCCCATCCATAATTAATTAATTATATTCTTACTTCTGCATTGTCCCGGATTTACTATCCAAATTGCGTCTTCCCCGTCGACATTGCAAGTGACAGCTCCGTTTCCAACCAGAGCGTAACCTCTTTTACATCTCAATCGGCACTGAGAACCCAAATAATTCGGACAATTTTGAGGTAATTCGGCATGAGGAGGAAGGGTAGGAGTTTGTCTACATACAATTTGTCGATCTAAATTTAAAATAAATCTTGGTATCAGTTTGTGTTTCATAAAAACCAGGAATCTAGAGCTAACGCACCTATGCAAGACGGTGGATTTCCCGACCAAACTCCATCTTGATTGCACTTTAAGATTGAATTTCCGAGTAATTCGTAACCGGGTTGGCATCTTATACGGCAAACGCTTCCAACTGAGTTGTCGCAGGAATCTATCCGACCAAATGTCGGTTGATACATTAATGGACATTGTCCTAGTTTCGAAAAAAGATTAATTAATTTAAAAAAATCATTTTTTACAAGCGAAATGATTCAAAATGTCACTTACCTAGTACAGTGTTCAGAGCTGTACCTATTCATTAAAGAAACATCAATGATTGATTAATATATTTCGTGATTCTGACTACGTTAGTTTAGACATATACAAATTACGTTTTTTTTTCAATGCACAAATTAAATTGATTGCTATTTTAGAAAAATTCAATTGAAATTGTCAAGCAAACAATACAAGAGGAAAAAGCTTTTATTGAAAATCATGAGGACATATGCAAACAGGATGTTGAATTAATTTCTGACTGGAATAAAGATTGATTCAGTCTTTATTGCNAACCCTTTGACATATTCCTCTTTTCTTCAGATAGACAAAACCAGCATACATTGTTAGTTTTAGTTAATGTTTCATGTTTAATTCCACTATCCATTATATCACCATAAAACCAAACACATATTTTCCAAATGTTTGAGAATGTTACACATTTATTATAAATAACAAAAATAAAAAAATAAAATTATGTTTTAAATTTCAAAGTACTGTATAACAAGTATTATTAAGATAAAAAACTAAATAATAATTAGGAATAATAAATTTTAATATTTTAGTTATAGATATGATCAACAATAACTTTTCAATAATATGAAAATCAAAGTCATACATCAACAATTTAATAAGAATTAAATTTTTTAAGTTTAACATATGACATAACATAACATATGACATAAGTTCATATGAAATATATGAAAAGAATCTAACTTACTCATCTTTAGTAAATAATGATCCTGTCAGTGCATAAGGAGTGGTTTCTTTCACTAAATTCAAAGCTTCAGTTACATTTTTTTCAGGATATACATAAACAGAAACAACAGGACCAAACAATTCATCTTTCATTATTTTGTCTGTTGGATCCTTAGACTGTACAATTGATGGTTCAATAAAATATCCCTTACTGAAAAATATAAATTTATTCATTTATTGATCTAAAAATAAGTTTTACTATTTTATAATATTTAAAACAATTATAACCTATTGTCACACTTTCCACCAGCTAAAATCTCTAATTGTGATGATGATTTTGCATGATCAAGATAACTTTTAATTCTTTTGAAAGAATTTCCATCTATTACTGCTGACAAGAATGTATCATATTCCAAAGGAGATCCTAATTTTACTTTCTTCTGCTCTTCTAAAAGTCCTTCTTTGATCTGAAAATGTTTTTTCAATATAAAAATTCAATCATCTAGAACAATTGATTGGTTATCAATTAAATAAATCATTTAATTTTTTCTTAATCTATAATTATCATGATTTTACTCCAAGTCAGAGTGATGAAACAATCTGTGTAAAATTGTGTTGTTATCTTTAAATTTACTTACACAATATAATCTAACCTCAATATACCATCCTCTTATAATAGTACCACACTTTAACAATCAGATGACCGAGCAGTCAAGGTAGCAGACTACCACTCTGGGGCACCCTGAATCGAATCAGGACTGGTCAAAAAACCTCAGGAATTTTTGGGGATCCTTCTGGATATGTTGGGCCCCATCCCTCACCAAACAGAACCCATAATGGGCTTGCTAAAACAGGCCCTCTTAGTGCCCACAAGGTAGAAAGAATTAAAAAAAAAGCACCACACTGCTGAACTGCCAATGAATACTTGTGAATGGATCTTTCCCATAAAGAACTCTAGTAGCTATGACTCACTAAATGTGCAGTTTTGCATTGTCAATCATGTGACTTTCACTCACCCAGGCTGAAACTTGTCTGTAGACCTGATTATTACATGTTTCTTATTGTTTAAGGTGATTCAATTTATCACTGCTTTCAACTTAAAGTAAATTATTTCAAAGGTGAACAAATGGTTATACTAAATTGAATGTATATCTAAAAAGGTAATTTAGATCACTTAAATGACACAATTGATAATGTTTCTGTCTAATGACACGAAGGTGTTGCATGTCAAGTATTTTAAGTTAATAATTTAGAAGTATCTAGAAAAAGATTATCTTGTTAATAATGATTTGATGCTTTTCTATCACCTGTATCAAAATATTTTAAATTAATTCCTTGTTATATTTTGTTATTCTTTGCTGGGCTGCAATTTGAAAAAAATTGTAGACCTATAAATTCCCACTGTCATCTGTCCACTGTCAGTCTTTCCTTAATCTTGAGAATGGAGTTAGATACATGAAAGACAAGAACAGATATGGAAAGTTAGAGGCAGAAGGTCCCAATTAACTGTATACAAACTTCCAATGCAAATAGAAAGTCACAATATTTCAAAACTTTTCCCCTGAAGGCAGTTAATAAATGACCAGTACGACTCCATTGCTAACTAAAAAGTATGATGTACAGGGGCAAGACACTACAGTGCTAATTTGAGGTGGAGGGCATATATTTTAAATTAAATAAATTAAAAACTGCAGCCCAGCTTCGTGATGATGTCACAATAAATAATTGTTTGTTCTTAGTTATATTCTGTCACCAATAAAATTACTTATTTATATATATAACTTATATATAAAAACATAATGCCAGCTATCCCTGTGTGTTTTGGGAAACCTGAATGTCTTGGTGGAAGCTGTTTGGATGGGAAGACAAATTTCAGTTCTTTGGGAAGACTCATTTTGCTCTCACTTTTCTCATAAAGGTAGGCAATGGGTCATCTGATATTTCAAGTGTCTATATTTAAATTATGTGTTATTGCAACCCTTTGACATATTCCTCTTTTCTTCAGATAGACAAAGCCAGCATACATTGTTAGTTTTAGTTAATGTTTCATGTTTAATTCCACTATCCATTATATCACCATAAAACCAAACACATATTTTCTCCAAATGTTTGAGAATGTTCTACATTTATTATAAATTGTTTCAACACCACCCGAAAAGAAACTGATTTGATTTAAATGAAATTCTATATTCTGATTCCACAGCATTCTAAAAGAACTGATCTGACAATGAGATGAAGATATCTTGAGAAGCATTTAATCGAGACAAGAACTTAAAAGGTGACTTCTATACTTACATACATATCAGAGTAGATATTAGTATTTCAACATTTGAAGCCAACAATACATTTATTTTCAGTATTCTGTGTGTTCATTATAGATTCTTAAATTATACAAATGTAAAAAAAATCCATAATCTGAATTTTCAAATTAACACTTAAATATCCTGAAATTAGTGAAATTCTGATGAACTTCTATTCCATCAGAAACATTTAAATAATACATAAATGACAGAAACTTTTTATTTATTTATATATTATTTAAAAATATCTGATGAAAACAAAGAATACCAAAAATATTCAAATAAATATTTGTTTCTGGAAGTAAAGTTTATAATTAATTACTATTAATTAAATTAAAAATAACAAATTATCATGATATAAATTTCTTTATATTCACAAACCTTTGGCCATAAATTATCAGGAACATACATTCTAGAACATGCAGAACATTTCTGTCCACTGTATCCAAATGATGCTCTAATGGTTGCTCCAACTACTGACTCAACATCAGCAGATGAATGAACAAAATGAAAATTTTTACCACCACATTCTAAATGATTTAAAAAAAATTATTTTAGTATTAATAGAACAATAACAATACATTTTGTCTTTAAATTTTACAAAATATTTTAAATCTATATTAAATTACCTCCAACCATTCGAGGAAAATTTTTATAAAGTTCCAAATTTTGAGAAATTTGTTTCCACAGATGACGAAATGTACTGAAAATAATATATATGTCAATTTTTAAGTTAAATAATCTAGTATGTCTTATTAAAAAAAAATATATATTTATACAACTAAATATTGAAACTAATTTCATATAACTTTTTAAAGTCAAAAAATATAAAATTATTTTAAATTAATCTTTAATTCAGCATATTTAGCACACATAGTGATCAAATAAATTTTAACTATTAACAGAATACATTGAAAAATGTTGTATATTTCTATTATTATTATTATTAAGAATATGATTTATATTTTAAACAACAAATGCACATTTTAAAATGACTAATGCTGTTATTAAAGCCAAAATTTTTAGGCATTTATCCTTTTGCCATTTTTTAAAGTAGTTCTTTCTACTACTTTAACTTTGATATAGAAGTTTTGTTTCTTTTTCAATTCCTATCAAATGCAGAAGTTGAAGTTTGTTTTTGTGAGTTTGACAATAACAATCCATTGCTTTCTACTGGATGTCTTNTAAAAACATAACAACAAAATAAACAATTATTCCTTTTAATCTCTTCATTGTACACATTTGCTATTAAAATTGTTAACAGCAATACTACAGACTGCACATATAACAATTGATTATTTAACGGAGTATTCTATTCTCCACTTATGACCCACTTACAAAGTTATCAAAATAAAAACGTTCTGGAAGATATATTGTTTGTTAATTTGTTCAGAGAATTTTCACTTGTTAGAGTTGAAACTTAAATCAATAAACTGACTAGAATCTTATTTGTCGAAAATATAAATTTTCCAGTAAATGTTTATATAATTTTACAGGTTTCTTGTTGAATTATTATATATATTCTGTAGCATTTAAAATTAACACACATTCTATCAAAATGAAAGTAATTTTTTTGTTGATAGATCATCAAGTTTTCAATTTATTTTAACACAAAATGAAAACTATGATAAACTTTTTTAATCCAAACAGCGAATAAAATTATTAACATGTTAAATTCTTCTATATAATTTTAAAATATAATTACAAGCACTTACACAGTAAGTGTTATTGTGTATACATTATATGTAGTCCTAACCACACATGTATATAAATTTATGTCATTTCCAAACATTTGTAAAAAAAAATTATGTATGTTTGATACTGGTTTATACATATAATAAATCAATTTTTTTAATTCAATTTATGTGAACAGATGAAATTAATACAAAATTTTATAAAATAATTTGATTTTTAAAAAAAAATGAACTATGCAATTGTTACTCGACAATTATTTGTTATACTATCTTATAAAACTGTCGATACAAATCTCATTTTTGTCTAAACAGAAACAATATTTGTACGTTACTGTGCTTTACTTAGACATTTGTGGATATTTCCAGTCGTTTACGGGAATGAATGTTTGTTTTATCACTTGGGGCGACGTCCATCGAATTAAGTAATGAGGTCCACCTGCTTTGTCATTTGTTCCTAGAAAAAAAATTCAAGTTTTATTTCAAGTTAAAAAATAAAAACAACATTAAGACAAACACAATTTTAAAATTTACCAGATAATCTGCCACCTCCAAAAGGTTGTTGACCAACTACTGAACCTGTTGATTTATCGTTGATATAGAAATTTCCTGCTGCCATTTTCAATTGTTCTGTAGCTTCTTCCATAAATTTCCTGTAACAATAAGAATTAAATACTGTATTTTTAAAATATAAAATACAAAAATTTTTAATTTTTAGTATCATATTTATTTAAANTATTTCTATTATTATTATTATTAAGAATATGATTTATATTTTAAACAACAAATGCACATTTTAAAATGACTAATGCTGTTATTAAAGCCAAAATTTTTAGGCATTTATCCTTTTGCCATTTTTTAAAGTAGTTCTTTCTACTTCTTTAACTTTGATATAGAAGTTTTGTTTCTTTTTCAATTCCTATCAAATGCAGAAGTTGAAGTTTGTTTTTGTGAGTTTGACAATAACAATCCATTGCTTTCTACTGGATGTCTTAGATGTTTTTCAATTGCTTTGAAAACATCCACATGTTGTGTACGACAGATTCTAGAAAAATCTTTTAAAAATTTAAAAAGAGCCAATAATATTTGATAGATAGTGTTAATTCTTATTTAAGAATACAGTTGTTATTTTTTTGCATGAAATGCCTTTATATTTTTTGTGTTATAAAATTGCTAACTTGTCAAGTAACTTCATATTAGTGTTGCAATGAATAGTATATTCAGCCTCAGGCCGAATACAGAATATTCGGCCAGGAGCGTAGCTGAATAGCCGAATATTCGGCCAAACTATTCGGCTTGATTAACGCATGTACGAAAATTGCTGCGCAAACCGCATTATGGCAAGGACCTGCTCTCCATTGGCCCACTGTCACTATGCTTCGTCAATCGCGTTAATTCTTGACAGTTGTAGCGGACAGCAAAGAGCATCATGGCAGTATGTGATAAATGATGATATCAAATGTCAATAACAATGAAATGACCTACCCGTGTAAATAACGGAAAAAGAACAGAGAAGGACCGCGAAGTGAAAATGTGAAAATAAATATGAAATTGAGTTGATAACATAATCAAACAAGTCGAAGCAGCTTATTGGAGCGAAATTTGTGGCTGTCAATGCCAAACAATTGTTGTCATAGACTTCGGAAAGCTAAATGCTTGTAATGAAAGTCATTTAGTGTGCACGGGCGAAAGCCTGGGACCGTTTGGGCTACCAAGCTGTCTCGAATCTGTGAAATCATAACCGTGACATATACCGACGTCCTATCTGTCTCTTTTCTATGTTATCACCAGGCTATGAGTCACGTAATTATAAAATGGAAAAACTACGATGGAAAAGCGACAAATCAAAAGTATCGTGAGCGTGTATTATGATTTATGCATAGGCATACGTGGACTAAAGAGATGGAGGAAAGAAAAGAAATAGCAAAGACGAGCGCTTAAAAAAAAAGATAGGCAGGGTCAGATCCTCAGATGTGTGTGATGATTCTCGAATGAATAGGCGTGTACATGTGCTGATATTTGTAATTATAAATTGTAAATACACATGACTAATATTATTTTTTTAATATTTTGTGCATGTTATAAGTTATAAATAAATATAAACAAACAACACTAACCCGATAACATTAAATCTAAATACCAAAATAATTAATTTACTGTGTTTTTGTTATTTCTTACTTCTGTTTTTAGGTATTCGGCCAAATAGTGATTAAATATTCGGTATTCGGCCGAATACCAAATAGTAACCAAATATTCGTTACATCACTACTTCATATGTTTCTTCCTATATACATAATAATTCTATTTCAAGTTCATTTTAATTATAATTTTAAAATAACAAATAGAAAACACACAATATCAGACATAAAGTATTTTACTGAAATCTTAGATTTTAAGTTATTGAAATATTCTTGAAACTATTTGGAATTAGATGCAAAATGCATTGAATTTATGAAAGTTAAATTGGGATGAAAATAAAATCTGACTTATCAATGTATTACTGTATTAACCTAACTTAAAGTTTTCTTTAATTTTACACCAGAGATAAATCCATAAAAAGGTATATAATCCTATATCTATCTGAATTTATCTCAGAATTGTGACACATGCTCAAAAATTACAATTGAACACTAGTTGTTTCTATTCTACTTCTATCCTTCTAATATACTTTGTTTTATAGAATTTTGAACAATGATAGAGGTAGCTTGTTATGTTTAGACAGGATGGAAATAAATAAAATAAGTTATTGTTAATAAATCTAAAAATGTGTAAAAATTTTTGTAATGGTATAACAATATGAATGATTCATTAATGAATATAAAAATGTTCATAAATACAGAATTATCAATGAATCATTACAATATTCTAGTAAATTATCTAAGAATTTGTTTGATTAACTCCTGTGAGGATGCACATCAAATGAACACACTTTTATTTTAGGTGTTGCATTTCTCCCTTTATATCCATAATGAACATGACTTGTCTAGTTGCTTCTACAGTGGGTGATCGGTTAACGAACATAATTCGTTCCAAGACTTTGTTCGCTATCCGAATTGTTCGTTAACCGATTATCGATTTACCATAGGTTTCTATGGGAATTTGATTAATTCGTTCTGGAGACCCCCAAAAATTAAAAAAGTATATACGTTTTTACTACATTTATTCATATGTAATAATAAAAATACATATATACATGGTCTTGCATTTTTATTAGTCATGTTTTTTCCGTTTGAAAAGGTTAAAGAATCTATCCAATGTCGATTGCTTTTCTGTCTTATTCATGATTTTTCAGAAGTGATTAATAGCATTGTAATTATAGAGATCCCTAGGCCTATTAACCTCAACTTGATTTGGATGCCATTTTAAGACTGTTGTTCTGACATCTTCCTACTTCTTCAAAAGATCTTTAATAGCAGATATCGGCATAAATCCGCATTTTCAGAAGAAAACGTAAAAGAATTGTTTTTGTCAGAAATACAAAAGGCTGGAATTACAAGGGAGAGTTTCAAAGTTCGGGGGAATACTATCCGATCAGTATATACTGGGTAGAACGTCGACGTCTCCCGCGGTCCGAAAAGTTTCAAATTGTTGCCTGAAGACAAAGGAAGACCAATCGGTATTCGTTATTTTACGTTGCTTTTTGTGTTTGTTCAGTGAAGTGTTCGTTATCCGAACATATTTACGTTGTCCGATCATAAAAATCATTCGCGAAAGTGTTCGTTATCCGATTTGTTCGTTAACCGATCACCCACTGTATTTTCAAATAAAAAAATGTATTTGATTTACTAGTTTTGCCCACTGTTTGTTTATGAATTAAACATTCATTTTATCTGAACTTGATTTGACTTATGCAAAATGTAAACTAATTTCTTAGTCATTCCATTCACCAAATGATTAGTTTCATTCTCTTCTGGTTTTATTTTTATATTTGAAACTTGTAATTTTACATCATGTGGCATTGTATATCATAATAGCATTATGATATACATTCTTTCAAACAATGTGTATGCCTACTAATTTTTTGAGTTAATGATATATAAGGTTTATAACATGCTTTATTAAGAAAAATAGAAATCATCAAAGCTTTGATTGATAATGAAAATGAATTACAAAATTATTATAGAGAGGAAAGTCAGCATAATTTGGATATCAAAGAAACTACAGATTCAATTCGTTCGAGACTGCATAATATTCAATACTACTACAGATTCAAATGTGTCTTCAGAAAATAGTCTGAAATTTCAAATTCACACAATATAAATGCAAAGATTTGACTATTATATGGAAAAAAAGCAGTTATAAAATGTACACAGTGATTTGTTCACCAGTATTGCAGAAAATGTTTTTTGGATGTTAAATCCGTAACTGATTGATTTCAGATTTTTGTCACTGAAGATATAAAATTATGACCTATCAACATATATCACTTATTCATTTTTATAATTTCCAGCAACTATGTGATGATGTTTTTACAATGGTATCTGAAATGAAAACTATAATAAATGTTAAAAATATGTCAAGAACACATGACTCTTTATAAGTCAAATCTGTAATTTTGATGAAAAAAACAAAAGGAATAATTCAATATTACAGTTATCTTATTACTTGTTATACGTTTTTGTTAATTGACTTCATAAAGATAAAGTAAAAAAACACCCGATATTTATTAGAAAATCTACTGAAATTTTATTACAGAACTCATGCAATAATAATATAAATTAAGTGATATAAAACATTTTCAACTTTTCAATTAACTTTTTTCTACATTAATGCAGAAGAAAGTTAGATTGAAACTTTTTAAAATCATGTGACAGTAAATTAATTTACATGTTATACAACTGTTATGATTAACAGTATTTTAATGAATAACGATTTTATTACAATTTAATGAATGAAAACAATTTTATTTTCATTTATTAATTGCTTAACAATAATAAATTTTAAAAAAAGTTTAATATCTTCATATTTTTCATTAAAAATTACTTTCTTACTTATAATATTTCAAAGTGTTTTTGCATTTAAAATTAAAATATTGAAAAACAAATTATCTGAAAGCTTTTGTTCTTCCTACATCTAAAACTTGAATTACAGCTGAGAAAAACATTTTATATGAAAATAAATAATATTAAAACAACAACAGTTAATGAAAAGGATGATTGTAACTTACGCTACACTTCCAGTAAAATTAATTCCAGCTAAAGATGGATAAGAAGTTATTGTATCACCAAATGTTTTTCCTTCTGCAGGTACAAAATTAATAACACCTGGTGGGAATCCAGCTTCTTGCAAGACTTTCATAACAACATAATTAGATAATATGGCAGTATCAGAGGGTTTCCACATTACTACATTACCCTAAATTAAAATTCATCCACTTAAGCTCTCAGTATACTGATATTTAAAGTATAATGAAGTATTTTTTAATTAAAATAAAATTATAGATCAAATAATTAAAATAAATTTATTTTTATTATTTTGGTTTTAATTATTCAGTTTTAGTTTTTTCCTTCAAATTCAAATATATAAAAACATATCTATGGGTAACCAGTTGTGTGTGCACACATGAAAAAGCAAAGAAACAAAATTTTTAAAAAACAACTAAAGTATAAAAAATGTTTACTATTCCATTTAGCAGTTTTAATTGAGCATTATTTCTAACAACTTAGTGTTTAACTTCTTAAAGTTTATTTTACAAGCTAAAATTAATTAGTTACTATTGTTAATTAAAAAATGAAATTATTTAAATGTTTAATAAAAATATCTCAAACATTATATATTCTTGAATAATTACAATTAGCTGAATGCTAATGAAACACGCAAGTGACAATGTAACATACAACAATCTGTATACTTGTTTCTTAATACAATAATCTTCAAAGAAAAATTCTGTTATTCTTTAGAATTTTCTGTGGTATTGATGGAGTATATCTTAAACAGCTTAAAAGCTTTTCTTCACTGAAATATTTCAGTAATAACTAACTATTTGTACTTAAATTCCTTGTATGAATAAAAGTGAAATACAAATACAGTAGAGTCCCAAAAATTCGGTCAAACCCTGGCAGGGCAAAAAAACCCTAGTTAATTTTCATTATAGACAGATTTGTGTTTCATAAAGTATTTTTCTGAGGTCTGTCTTATCAGATAAATTACTGTACACCGTGTATTCATTAATTTTCATTTTCATGTAGTAATGGCTCTATGCCTTCATAAAGTCTGTACTTTTCCTTTGTTTAAGAGTATTTGGGCAGTTTATTCTCTGTTGTATTCTCAAGAAAACAATACATACAAGTACAGTACAGTATTTTCTGAGGACTCCACACTCAAACTTATTCTTTTTTAATCTCATTCCCGATAACCTGGCATTTTCACAAACTCAGTCACCCTTCGGTCCACATTAGGCAGAGTTTTCGGGACTCTACTGTAGTAATCTATAAAATTTTTTACTCTAAGTGTATTTCCACATATCCATTATTATTGTGGTGGTATTGATGGAGTATATCTTAAACAGCATATATACCAGTGCGTAGCACTATGCCAGACCAGGGTGAAGGCCTAAGTTGTTATATTAATGTGCTGTTCATGTATTTATCTACTGTGTTTAGAAATTTCCTGACTAACATGTTTATAAATGCAATCTTCTATAGCATGATTTATGTGCTATTGTGATCTTCTAATGTTTCAAGAGTTTTATGTAGTTTATGTCATATAATGTCTGTGCAACAAGGAAATTCTGGTACAATAAATATCTTATCTCTTTTCCACAGATGCTTTATTTTATGGGCAAGTTCTGAGTAGTTACTAAGTTTTCTATTTTATATGTTTTGAATATTTGGAACAGCTATGTCTATGATGTATGTAATTTTGTTTCATTTATTAATTAATGTGGTCTGGTCTGTTGTGATGGATTGTTTTATCTGTGGTCATAGTATATTTTGTGTATTGTTTCCTTTGATTATCTGAGAAGTACACCTGTAGTGTAGATTCTGAGTATACAGAAGTTTGTGTGCAAGCTTTTGATTATACTTGCTATTTGTATATGTCAATGTAAGTAGTTTATGTAGTTAGTAATATGTAGTATTAAAAGCTTGCAACCAGTTATGATTTACTGTACAGTCTTGTGCATGATGTGGCATTCCCTGCAAGTATTGTCTGTGAATGGTTTTTCTTTTCAGATGTGTTTTCTGAAATATCTTGTATTTATGACTTGGTCTTATATGGCAATTATGAACCCTTCCATCTCTCCAAAGAGGTCTCCAGTCAGCCAGCAGTTTGATGCAGTTCTGTCAACATGATTCTGGCTAAGACTGCTTGGGTGCATACCATGGACATCCTTTCAAGCCCAAGACTGTGATGATATCTGTGCATTTTGTGCACTTTATTAGAACAAGATGAACACTACATACGTTTGAGGGTATGTTTTTGTCCTCAAGTGTTACTACTTATGCAACTGTGATGTTTTCTATAGAAAAACTTCTGCAGTGTCTGCATTTGTTTGTGGTAAAAATTTACTTTATCTGCGAGGCTTTATACATCTTCTTTATGAAGAAAAGTCAGCCTTTCTGCAGAAGACTTAGTGTTATTATGTTTTGTTAATTTTTGTTTTCCTTTTGAGTTGTTCTAGTTCTATGTATGTTATATTAATTTAGTTACATGTTATAGTTCAACACATAACTTCAAATGAATTTGTCAGTACTGGAATGACATACATGATGATTACTTTAAATGTGTGTTCTGCATTCAGCTGTGTTCTTAGTAGTGAGTTTAAATTGCTATTGCACTCTTTTATTAGAATATTCATAAATTAAACAAAGACTGTGTTTTTTATAATAGGATTTTTATGAAGTAAAAATATATTTATAAAATAAATTAAGCAATATTAAAACAAAACAATTATTAAAAATAAAGCAAGTCATACCATTAAAGTAGGAGCAGATGCAAGATTTCCACCAATAGCTGTGAAATTAAAAGGCGATATTGAAGCTATAAATCCCTGAAAAATAATATTTAAATATTATTATTTCATGAAAGTTTTATAATTATTAATTTCATTTGAATTTTATTAAAAATCAAGATAAATGTTTTCAAAGTATCTTACAAAATAAATAAATTTTTGGAATGCAATTTGAACAAACTTGTACCTTTAAATTCCCAGTGTCATCTGTCTGTCTTTGTTTAATATCAAGAATGGAGTTAAATAGATGAAAGATAAGACCAGATATAGGGAGCTTAGGGCACAAGCCCTGATTAACTATATATGAACTTCCAATGCAAATTGGAAGTTGCATTATTTCAATTCAAAAATTTTCCCCGGAAGGAATTACAGTATAGCCTCGATTATCCGTTCTTCCTACATCTAAAACTTGAATTACAGCTGAGAAAAACATTTTATATGAAAATAAATAATATTAAAACAACAACAGTTAATGAAAAGGATGATTGTAACTTACGCTACACTTCCAGTAAAATTAATTCCAGCTAAAGATGGATAAGAAGTTATTGTATCACCAAATGTTTTTCCTTCTGCAGGTACAAAATTAATAACACCTGGTGGGAATCCAGCTTCTTGCAAGACTTTCATAACAACATAATTAGATAATATGGCAGTATCAGAGGGTTTCCACATTACTACATTACCCTAAATTAAAATTCATCCACTTAAGCTCTCAGTATACTGATATTTAAAGTATAATGAAGTATTTTTTAATTAAAATAAAATTATAGATCAAATAATTAAAATAAATTTATTTTTATTATTTTGGTTTTAATTATTCAGTTTTAGTTTTTTCCTTCAAATNGCCAAATATTGTAGCGCCACATCACTAGCGGACATTTGAAATTTTCCGACTAGGACGGTCAGTTAACCGAGGTGACGGTTAATCGGGGGTCGGATAATCGAGGCTCTACTGTAGTTAGATGATTGGCATGACTACTGCTAACAGGAAAAGTATGATGTACAGGGGCAAGACATTACTAATTTCAGGTAGAGAGCATATATTTTAAATTAAAATTTAAAATATGATTAAAAATTGAAGCCCACCATTGTAACAATGTCACAATAAATATTTGCTTGTTACATTTAACATTCAAAACATTATAAAAATATATGTAATTTATTTATTATTATAGCTTCTTGTCCTTTTTTCCTTTTATTTCATTCTTATATAGCTACACATTAGGCTATTAGTTTTGGATTTATCCCACCAAGTTTAGGAAACTTGACTTGGGCTTTTTTCTTTTTATTTTTAATAAATTTCAACTCCACTATGTATATTTTTGTATATTATCCCAAAATATACACATTGGAGTTGATTTTCTCATTAAACAAATTTTCCTTCTTTTAAAATACAATCTTGCAACTAAGTAGTATCTAGTAAACTTTTTCTTTAATTTTTCCATAAATTGTAATTTTTACCACATCATTTCTTAAAGTTTTAACAGTTTTACATTAAGGAATAGTGTATGTGTACTCAATCAGAATGCACAAAAATTACACATTTAGGTAATTTAAATGTGATGAAATGCCATACACTGAAAAGTCTAATATTAGCTTTCAATTTATTGCATTGAAATGATATGGTTACCAGATACTTCCAAATATGTTTTTATTTGCCTGTATTGTACAGGACATATTTTAAGCACAATTAATTATTATATAAATAATAATAATAAAAATTATTGCTGTGTTAATTAATTAATGTGGTATTTATTATTATAAAATAAACAAGACATCATTTAACACCTTTACTTATTACTGTTTTCCACTGAACTGTATATATACAGTAGAGCGTCGATTATCCGAAAGAATTCCAGTCAGCAAATTTAAATTTTCGCCAGTGCTGTGGCACTGCAATCTTTGGCTATGTCTTGGGCTACTCAAATATTTTACGTTTTTGATACTAAATTAACTTCTGAAGTATAATTTTTTATTGTTTTTACATTTTTCAATATATTTATTTTGTTTGTACAAAATAAAAAAATAATTTTTAACTATACAATAGTCTTTGTTAGGCTTAAAATCAACGAAAATTCAACGCAAAGCGACACGCAACAGAGAAAAATTTCAACATGGAATAAATTAATATTTTTTTTTCGTACATAATCGGTTATCTGAAATATCAATTTTCTGAACAACCCCAGTTCCCAATTGATTCGGATAATCGACACTCTACTGTACTTTGAGTTTTTGATAGTTTGAGGTTGTCTCATTCTTGATCAACTATCAAAATTCTACTGTATATGAATTACAAAATTACAATTGTTGTTTATCTGAATAAATTATTAATAAGTATATTTACTTTGTTATAAAATAACAGAGCTCAAATTTTAAATGTTATAACTAACTATAAAAAAGTCCATTAAGTAAACGTAAAGATAAAATAAAAAATAATTTATACAAACATACTTCAACAATAAAATCTAGATCAACAAATTTTTACTTGTTATATATCAAATTAAACAAGAAAAAAAATATATCACATAGACTAATAACAAAAACCATAAAGTTATTTTCAAACATGCACAATTTAAAAAAATATCAACAAAGGTCAGTCCATAGAAACATGACACCAAAAAATCATCAGAGCCAAATTATGTAACATGTTTTACATAATCTAAATTTGTAGATTTTTTTAGTAATAGTTAATTTTCGTTTTAGTTAAACATTTCTTAATTTAAAATAATTTTTTATTAAAACAAACTATTGTAATTACAAAATGTCAATGAAAAATAGCCATAAAATGATGTTTATTATTATATTTTGGTGAGAAATAATTTTAGTGTCGTGTTTTCACATTTTCAATTTATGGTCACCCTAATGTGACCATTTTTATTTTGTTAAAATTTTATTGCTTTCCCAAAAAATGTAACAATATTAACTACAATAAAAAAAGCTTCCAATTTGCAAACTATTACTTACTTATTCTACTTTCAGTAAAAAAAAAAATATTTACCTCAATTCCTCTATGGCGGAAAGAATTCTTACTTTCTTTAGTTGAAATTGGTTGGTATTTTGTAAGTTCCTGAAATGACAAAACAAATTATTTACACACAAAAAAAAAAAAAAGAAAATTCTTTTATGAAATATTTTTACCTTTGCAAAAAATGCATTAAATCTGAAAAAGTCTGCTAATTCAGCTGCTGAATCAATTTCTGCTTCATATACTGTTTTTCCCTGAGAGAAACTTTGAATAAAATTTCTGCATATGAAAGTGATATTTAAAACAAAAGAATTAATAAAGTACATATCAAAGTTGAACATTGATATGTATCTATATTTGTTGTTTTTGCATAAAAGGCAATATCATACCTGTCCTAACATTGTGGCTGCATTCAAGTCCATTCTATATTTTCCACTTACTAAATCACCAGCTTTAAGAAATAATTTTATTTTTTCAGATATAGGAACAGCTTCCCAATCCCTTCGAACTTGAAGATTCTTCTCTATTGCTTTCTTAATGACATCCTGTAAGCATTTAAAAAAAATAATATATGTATATACACTTATATTTTTTCATTTCAAAAACAAATATTTATAATTATCATAATTTCTGCAATATCTTTTACATGTATTTAATATAAATTTTTCTATTACTTTTTCTGACAAAAACATTTTATCCATCATTATATTTATAATAAAGTATTTAAAGTTTTGAATGTTAAAAAGCATAAATTGATAATTCCTTGATTTCCATTGTTAAGCACAAATCTAAATTTTTTTAATCAAAAATAACATTAAGAGGTCCACAGTTTAAAAATCAAGAATTGTTAAGTGTAACTCTAATTACAATACTAATGACCCAGATTGGAAACACTTAATGGTTACATTGATGTGTACATGCACTTGTCATAATTTAGAAATGCTACAAATGTCCCACAAGATTAGAAAAGTGGTCTTGAAAAGAAGCCCAAGGAATTATTCAATTTTTGTGGGGACCCTGCTAAAATCAAGCTCAAATTATATAGAGGCGCATCATCATCTATCATACAGCCTGAATCTTGTCCCTTCTGATTCACAAGTTTTCCGTATTTGATGCTGCTGCCATTTCCCTACTGATAAAAAAAATACAGCAATGTTGTGTAACCTTCCCAGCTGTTATTAAATTTTATTAAAAAATAGCTTTTATAATATTAATTATAATAAAAAGGCAAAGACTTAATTTTGAGGATGGAGATGAGTTCTTAAAAATATTGTAAATGCCAATAATGATTAAAATTTTCATTACATCCAACCCCATTTGAAATTTAGCACATAATCCCATCTATCTCCCCATCCCTCTAACTTTAATCACTAAAATTTAATGGCATTAATGCCCTTTATATACAAGTTTCCACACCAAATTGCTTCTTAAACCTAACTCTCCTCCTGACTATAAAATGAAATAGACACTAACACCAACAATTTTCTCCCACTTTGACTTTTGGGTTCATGTCTCAAAATGTAAAGATTTAAAATAAGCCCAAAGGATCATATTTGACACAATTCCAATAGTTTCTCATGATATACACATAACATTCAAAAAAAATAAAATGAAAGCTGTCATTACTGAATCACTACAGCAACAGGGGAAGAATATTCTGAGGATGCTACATGTTGTAATAAACACCTGAACAATATCTGGATGATTTTGTTGAGAAATAGCATATTGTTTGAAGCTAAATCTGTATATTTTCATTTCCCAATAACAGTATTTGGTGTGTTATTCACTTTGTAAAAGTTACTTTATTTTAATCATCTCCACATAGTTCATTTGTGCTGTGCTGAAAATGCTACTACCACTGCTACTTTATTTTTGTGAAGTGTAGAAAAACAGAATTATGGAGAGAAATTTATTTACCAATCATTTGCATTGAATTTTCAATTTTATATTAAATTATGATATAATTGAATTTATTACAAAGTTCAAAATAAACAATTTAACTTTGTATACACTATTTTTTTCATAGAGAAAAGGATACATTATCAAAATACCACATTATTTAAAAATGTCATGCCCAAATTTCTAAAAGTTAACATTTTATTAATTTCTTAATTGCTAACTTTCCTTTCACAAACAATTTCTTTTCATTCATTATGTTTATTATCATTTTCAGTCAAACTCATAAAAAAAATTTATGCTTTTAAGTTGACCAGTTCATAATTTTTGCCTGTAGATGCAAAATATAGAAAGCAGACATAAATAATATTATTATTCCAACAGTTCAAAGACAAGACAGATTTTAAAATATGTTTATAAATTGTATTTGGTAAAAACAAATATTTATAAAACTGAATCCAAAGTTTATATATATTGTTTTATATATAAATTAAGAAATCATTGCTGGTAAAACATGTTAGGACAGTTTTTAAAAATTAAATCAGTCATACTTAATACGATTGCTCAAATACAATCAAAACAAAATCAATTTTATGTCTTTAAACATGCATTATAGTTCAACCATTAACTTAAATGTTATTTTTCATCACTAGATCTTAACAATGCTGGGTTTTTTTGGGATTTAAAATATTTATCAGGTTGTATCCATTAAGTTATGCAGCAATTTTAATTATTTAGAAAACTGCAAAAGAAAATTATATTATTAATCTATAAATTATTCAATTACAAAAATATGACTCATTTTTCAGTATATAATATTTCATTCATTTCAAAATAAGTAATATAAAAAGATTAAAAGAAAATAATAGCTATTTCCTTATTAATAGAGATGATAAAAATCAAAAATAAAAAGGACAATTTATCAGATTTGATTAAAGAAGTGTGAATCATAAAATGTTAAGACCTAGATGAGGTCTGTTGCAATATTTAACTATTTTATTATTCAAATAAAAAATTTAATTTTACTTAATAAACTAAAAAAAGTATTCTTATAGACATATTTAATAAATTAAATGTAGAAAATTTAATTATAGTAATCATATAAACATACAGTAAAAAAAAATTTCATTGCAAGAAGAATAAGAAGTTAAGACACAAGAACTTTAATGGAATGAAATACATAATTTTAGTGAAATTGTTTTAAGAATAATTTATACAGAGCACATTCCCTATTTTCATAATTGTAATTTTCATAGTTTCATTGTTCTTTTCCATTCTTGCCCATAAAACATAAATTAATAAGTTAAATAATTATATAAAAATTTTCTTATGTCAAAACAGTGCACTATTAAAAGTCTTGAATAAAAATAAAATGTACATGTTAACAAAAAACAAGTTGCTACAGCTTGAATGCACATTAAGCAAACATAATAAACAATAATCAGTAATATAACTAATTTAAATATAATTTTTTTTGTGTATTGAAAAAATATATAAATTAAATATAACTTACTGGTGAAGCCCAATAATACTTGGCAATTTTTGAAGAATGATCAAATGGCTAAAATAAAAAACAATATTTAGTTATCAAATAATCAATTTCAATAATTATTAATGTAAGTAATTTTAGAAATAAACATAAAATTTATGTATTTTGCATTTTAGATTTAAAATCATATTTATTTCATACAACTTCTTTGCTAAACAATAACAAATATGTACATATGTAATAATAAAAATTTGATTAAGCATACAAATATATTCTCTAAAAATTGAAAACAAAATATCTTGATTAGATTTAGTTAATAACTAAGCACTTTTATCTTTATATAAAGAAAAGAATGTGTCTATGACAAAATATTGTTTTTGATTATACACATTAAAAACTATTTTGTAAAAGTTTAACTTACCATAACTTGATATTGCACATTATTTGTTTTAATTTCTTCTCCTCCAATAATGATGGGTATTTCTGTGCAGTCATTTTTATACTTCTTTAATGCAGCTTCCAATTCTTTTTGTTCCTTACTGCCTTTTTCATATAGATAATTTTTTTCATTTTCCACAGTAAAATCTTCTACTGATGCAACTGTTTGGATACATCTTAATCTACAAGAAAAAATAAATTATGAATACCATAATGTAACTTTCAAAACAATATAAATTCAAAATTACATCATCAACCATTTCAATATGTTATGACAATTTAAAGTACAGTGGTGCCTTGTATAACAGATGCTGCAAATAACGGACTTTCTGTTCGGCAGTTACGTGAGGCAAATGACAGACTTTCTGCAAACAAGTGCAAATGATGTTTCCACTCTTTTGCCACTCAAGCAACAGACTGGCTGCGAACAATGGACTTTCCGCAAACAAGTGCAAATGATGTTTCCACTCTTTTGCCATTGCCAATGACAATCTGCTATTTTTATAATATATTAGTATTATTAGAATATATTATTAGTATATCTGAAGTACAGGGCTCTTGTTGGGATTCGGCTTGCTCCCTTGTTTATTACGTACATCACCTCAGTGCAGGGTATTTACATTTATTCAAGTGTTGTGCAAATCATGGCTTCTAAAAAAACAGAAAGATGATTTCAATTGAAACAAAGCAAGACATCATCAGAAGAAGTGAAAGTTGACAAAAACTTCCTTGTCAAATGGGGAGAGGTTCAGGAGTTTACCAACACTCATTATCCAAACACAGCTGAGGCCAACAGGATCAATGATCTCTACAATGCCTGTCATTTCTGATAGGTGTTGAAGAAGAGAAAGAAACAGACCACCTTGGACATGTTTTTCAAGAAGCCAGCAGGGAAAAAACAAAGGATGGAACAAGAGGAGTTGACTGTGCAAGCTCCGGTAGCCTCTCCTGAATTTGACTCTGATTAAAAAACAACAAAAAGAGACCTGCTGCAATGTGTAAAAAGTCTATATCTGTATGAATGTGTGAAGAAAGTGTTCCTCCATCTCCCCCTCACAACATCTGACTACCCGACATAATTGGTGACTGCTCCATTTTCATTTTTTATGGTACAGTATGATTATTTTATGCTGCAGAACGAATTATATGTTTTAACATGTATTTCTACGGGAAAATGTGTTTCGTATAACAGACTTTTCATTTAACGGATGTGCACCTAGAACAGATTAAGTACGTTATACAAGGCATCACTGTATTTCATTAAAATGTTTAGTATGTATCTTTAACCTATTCAATGTTGAAATTTTTATTCGTTGCCTGTGACACCATGTTGAATTTTCGTCGATGTTAAGCCAAATTTTATTTTTTTAAAATAATAATTGTGTTTGCTGTATTGTAAAAAATTATTTTTTTATGCTTCAGAAACAAAATAAATATATTGAATAATATAGAAACAAAAAAAATTATATTTTAAAAGTTTGTTTTAATATAAAAATCATGATGCATAGCGACATCTAGTATCAAAAAACGTTCTGATGTAAACATGAAAATATTCGGGATCGCCCACGCAGGTCAATTAGGTCAACAAATATTTTCGGGAACAACGTAGGACAGGTTAAAGGCTACTCTTATAAATTTAATACTGAATTTATGATAAAAACACTAAAGTTTTGAAAAGAATTAAAGGTAGTATATAATTTCATTTAACTCTATTTAAAATAGCAAACAACAACACACAACACGAGGTGTAGTAAACAATGTACCCTATGAACCAATGACCAATGTGCAACAAAAAAAGAAAACAAAAGAGAAAGATCACCACTAATGTTTTTGTACTCCCGAGTTCAAGTGTTAAAAAGAATTCTGATGAAACATAAAACATCTGGAATATGAATATTCAATAAATCAGATGTCAAGATCTGCTATCCATACAATTCATCAAATATTCAAATTCCAAATAATTTATGTTCCATCAGAATTCCTTTTATCACCTGAAGAATTCAGGGGAGTTCAAAAACATTAGTGGTAAACCTTCTCTCTTGTTTTTTTCGTTGCACACGAGTCATCGGTTCACTGTCTATTCAAAATTATGTAGTTTCATACTGGGCAAGATTTCAAAACAAAATGTAGAATAAATCCTCATTTTTAACAATTACATACAATATATATATGGTATAATCTCTGAATAGCAGACACCATCAGGACTGAGAAGTTTGTCCACTATTTGGAACTACCAGCTATAATGTATCTTAATTAAGGGATGGAAAAAATATTCAAAACTGTTACATTTATAACATCATTTATAAGTGACTAATAAAAATCAATACAGGGATATGTCTGGTTTGTAGTTATCAAGTAGGTTTTTTTGTGTTTTTCAGTAACTGATTTATTAAAAATTATACTTTAGCCACCAAAAAGCTGTTAAAATGGTTATGACAACAGCATTTGTTTTGTGAAAGTTCAAAGGTCATGTTATGAAGGCAATTTGCTAACCATTTTAAAGTATGGTCGGCAAATTTATGACATCATTTATGATCTTAAGTTTCTTTTTCATTACTACTACACTACAGCTCTTGTTGAATGAATGAATGATACCAAAAACTTATAAACTTTGGAAAAGTTTATAAGTTTTTGGTATCATAACCTTCATTCAAACAATAAGACCGTAGTTTAGTATCCTTAATATGTATAACAATAAATGGTAATTGACAACTTAACCAGATTAAGCTTCTTTAACAGATAAAGAATATTGTTCAACTTTTTATAATCTGCCATTTCTATTCCTATTTTAAGCCAGTCTTTGACTCCTATGATGAAAATTCAGTCTTAAAGAGTATTTAAATTGATTCTTTGTTTTCATTTTAAAATATTTTGTATGTAATTAATTCTTTCATAATATTGAAGGTGGAACATTGTGTTTTTATAAGGTTGGTTATGGACAACAGTGTCTGTTATTTAATGGTAAATATGATGGATGTCCTATTTTGAAGGGTCTGTGGATTGTATAAATGTTAAGTAGAGGTGTCTGCTATACAGGAGTGTCTGTCATAATTGGGATCATAATTAAGGTATTTCCTTAATGTAGAAGTATTAGGAGTGAAAATACAATTTTAGAAGATTTTTGTAATTTCTCATATGATAAATTAATAAATCTAGACTTATCTGACTAAATGAAGAAACAAAAATAGAGGTTAAAATGTTATTTCTGAATAATAAATATTCATAAACAATGTTTATATTTAATAAATTCATTCATTATTACTTAAATAACAAAAATTCATTGAGAATTATGAAACATCTTGTAAGAAAAAACTTGAATAGAATAATTATAATTCAAAAAATTGACAAAAAATTCTGACATAGCACAAAGGTGTCCAATATAATTTAAGATTCAAAACTTATTAAATTTTTAGATATTAATCACTTTATTCAGCAATAGTTTATGAACATACAATAAATTAAAAATTGAATGCATAAAGATTATTCAAGCACAAACATACTTGCTTTAAATGCATTTGTGAAAACATCCATATCATGTAATTAACAAACTCATGCATCATTATAACAAATATTTATAAATAATTTTATAAATCAAAAATATTTTAATTTTTAGCAATTTTACTTTTGTGTAAAATTGTTAAAAATTCAGTTATTTAAAATGCAGGCCTTTAAATAAAGTCTAGAAGGGTCGTACTCATTATTTCAGTGTTTCCCAACCTGAGTGCCGTGAGTGTGTCTGAGGCATGTCATGGAAATATTAAGTATTTTTTAGAATTTTGAAAACGCACTTTTTTAAAATTTCATTTATCTTTCATCTTTTTTTACTGCTAGCTGACCGAATGGAGGTGGTGGTATTCACCAAAATGCTGATTGTTGCAAAATATGCAGCATTGGCATACCTCCATACAAAAGTTGCCTATGTCTATGTGTATGCCAGCCTACCAACTGTTTGGAGCTTTTATAAATGTTGCAATTTACCAAGACCAATACTAACTAGCTCTTTACACATTGATTCAAATAGTCTTTTTATTTTTATAGTATATTTGTAAAATTTGAGTTTGTGTGTCTTGGTAAGTTTAACTTCTATATTATCAAAACTTATTTTAAAATCAACTTTAATTTATTTTAAATATTTTTATTTTAAAAATTTTGCTGTATTGCAGGAATCTTATGAAGTTCAAAGTGTATCACTAACCCAAAAAGGTTGGAAAACACTTATTTACATCTTCAAAATTTAAAAGATGCTTTATGCTAATGATTTTAGATTAAATTTAAGCTGAAAAAATAGAAATGAAGTAAATCTTCAAGTTTAAGTTCAGTTTATTAGCTAAACTTAAATTCTGTCATCAATGAACCACATTGATTATTATACATATTACTAGCAGATATTACTACATATCCAATGCTGCCCAGAAAAAAAGAAACATCAGCAAACATTAAAATAAACACCATATTGAGAGTTTGGTTATTTTAGCCTATCACTGTCGTATATGTTTATTGTGATCTTCCAACAGTATAGAACAGTGTTCCACAACCGGTGTGCCTTCACATGATGAAAGATGTGACGTGAACTTTTACATATTCTGTTAATTTCAAGTTTCATTTATATATTTTTATCACAGTTGTTGTGTTTCTTATGCTTGCATTTCATTCTCTGCCGCAGCACTGATGAAATAAGATAATGCTTGTTTATTCTTTATTACAAGTCACACATTTTTATGAATTCTAAGAAATTATATGTAAAATAAATTTGCTCGGAGATGTTGATGTCTGTTTAATAATAATAATAATATGTTAGTGGCATTACGTAATTCTATTAATAGTATCATATTATACATTTTTGAGGGGAATAACATTTTGGTGTGCCGTGTTGAGTCATAAGTGTGCTGAAAGTAGTAAAAGGTTGTGGAACACTGGTATAGAATAGCACAATTTCATTGGTCAGGTAGACAGGAATTGATGTTTTTCAACGAAAAATATTTGTTAACTATTGCCTGCATGAGAAGATAATTCAAGAATACAAATTTTTCCAAATGTTAACTCTAACATACCATTCACTGCCAAATATCAAATGATAATCAGCCAACCAATCAAATTTCATTAAAAAAATGGATCAAACATTTAAATTTGGCATCCTCAAAATCCTTAAAAAACATTTTGTACTTGTTAGTAACTTTGTATG